ACTGTTCCACCACCCGCGGGATCGATGGCCGGATGCCGTCGACATCGACCGGATCGCACGCTACGCGCGCGCATTCACCGACATCGGGCTGCAGTTGGCCAACGCCTGACCGGACCGGCGCCGCCCGCGGCCCCCCGTCCCCCCCCCCCCCCACAAAAAACCGCGCAGGGGTTCTTCTCCTGCCCCGTGCGCCGGCGGCGAGCGCATCCGACACGATCGAGGCAACGGTGGCGAGCCCGCTCCCGACGTCACGTCAAGGTTGCAGCGGAGCCAACGGTCGCGCCGCGCAGCGAGCACCGCGCAGTCTCCGGCCGCCTGTGCGTCCTTCACCGCACCGAACGTGAGCTCCCCGTTCGGCGCGGCCACGTCGATCACGTCCGCACAGGTGAGGATCAGAAACAGCCCGTCCGCGGGACCGCCCTTGTGCGACTGCCCCGTCGAGTGCAGGAAGCGCGGTCCGAACCCGACCGTCGTCGCGACCCGCGTCGCGGCTCGCACCTGGTGGCGCAACTCGTCGAGAGTCCGCCGATGAGGATCGCACATATCGAGATACGCCAGCACCGCGAAGTAGCCTCCGAGACGCAGCCGGAGAGGGAGAGGGGACCACTGAGTAGAGAGACCGCCGAGCGCACACCGGACAGCCGCAGCGACCCGCCTGGAGATGGAGTACGGCCGCGCCGCGTACGCGCCGATGACGCCGGCGTCCCAGGCGAGCTCGGCCACCGGACTCGCCGTGGCGGCGGGGTCGCTTCCCGGCCTCTGGCTCGTGATGGCGCGCGTTGCGACCTTGCTGGCTTCGACGTCCGGCTGATCGAAGGGATGTACGCCGAGCACGGCGCCCGCCACCGCGGTGGCGAGCTCCCAGCGAAAACACTCGGCCGCCAGGTCGTACCGGTCGCGCGCGTGGAGCCGGACCACCGGATGGCCCGCGCGGGCCAGCGCGTGCAACGCCTCTTCGCGCCGTTCGTCCGGTTCGTCGTCGAGCGTGGTCGCAACGAACAGACGATCGTCTCCGTAGACCGGCGGATCGTCGAGGCGCTCCCCGTCCACGGGAATGATGCCGACTCCGTCCTTCCCGGTCGATTCCGCCAGCAACTGCTCGATCCAGGCGAAGAGGCAGCAAACGAAGCGTCCAGATTTCACTTTTCTGAGCGCGGGGTGACGAGCGTAGCAGGTGCGACGTCCGGCGCGGGCACCAGCTCGAGCAGCACGCCGAGCATGAGACACCGGGATGCGTCGAGGCCGCGAGATTCGGACAGCAGGGCATCGCATGGCCCGGGCACGTGTCCTGTGAGCAGCAGCCGCACGTCGAGGCCGCATACAGGGCGCAGCCGGCACAAAGAAAACAGAAGGAACCACCCACGCTGAGGAGGAGGCAAGGATAGGAGGAACAGGAAAACGAAAGTAGTAAAAGGACGTAAGTAGTAGTACCTTACCGCGATGCTCGCTTCGCCGTGGAACACGGCCCGGAAGCCGCGTTCAGTAGCCAGACGGTCGAGTGCCGAGCCAGGATCGGTCACTGCAACGAACCGGGTCCCGGCCGCGCGGTCGCCGGCCCGCTGCCGGACCCGCTCGAAGAAGTGCCCGTGCATCAGGCTCGTTTCCAGCGTGGTGCCCGATTTGCTGGAAACCACGAAGAGCGTCCGGTCGACGTCGAGCGTCGCCTCGAACGCCCTGAGCTGCGCCGGATCGGTCGAGTCGAGCACGCGCAACTCGACGCCGCCGGCGGATCCGAAGATCCGCTGCAACATCTCCGGGCAGAGACTGGATCCTCCCATGCCGAGCAGCGCCGCGGTGACGAAGCCGTCCCGGCGCACCCGATCCACGAACGCTTCCAACCGCCGCACCTCGGGTCCCTCCGGGTCCGGGACGTCGAGCCAGCCGAGCCAGCGTCCCTCGTCGCCCCCGGTCCATACCGTGGGATCCCGCTGCCAGAGACGTCCGAGACGTCCCGCCGGCGACCATGAAGCGGCCTCCTTCGCCACCGCCTCGTGTAGCGCCGGCGGCGCATCGACCTCTACTCTCATGTTCATCTCGCCCACGTCCGCTCCGTTTCTCCTCGTTCTCATCGGCACACCGTCTACGCTCGAGCACGCGGGAGATGAGCCCGACCCCGCATCCGTCCCCATCCGGCCGATCAACCAGCGACCGCGTGCACGCGCCGCTGCAGGTCCTCCGTGAGCCGCACCAGCCCGTCGCTGACGACCACGCGATAGTCCGCTGCCCCATCCAGTCCCAGGACGGACTCCGGCAGTGCCTCCACCGCTCGCAGCGCACTCTCGCGAATCTCGTGCAGGACCGGAGCCGCTCGCAGGCGTCGTCCCCGACGCATGACCGGCGAGAGCAGCGGCCGGCCCGCTCGTGGCGGCGGTTCATCGTCCTTTGCAAGAACGTCGTGGGTCGGCCTGCCGCAATCGCTTACGCGCCACACCTGTTTCACCCCGGGATACGTGCCCTTGCCCTGGCTCAGCTTGAGCACCGGTTGCGCGAGCCCGGCACGCTCCACCTCGACGAGCTTGTAGACGCCACCGAGCGCCGGCGCGTCGGACGAGGTGCTCAGCGCCGTGCCGACGCCAAAGACGTCGATCGGCGCGCGCTGCTCCACCAGCTCGGCGATCCGCCGTTCGTCGAGGTCGCCGCTCGCGAAGATCTCCGTCGCGCCACGCACGCCGCGTCGAGTAGCGCCAACAGCACGGCAACGGCTACGGAGCAGTCAGATAGGGTCAGCAGCTACGACAGAGCGAGAGCGCGCCGCGGCGACTGTCGGTCGACGGCGCGCCCTGTATCGTAGGTATCGATGAGGAGCACCGTCTGCTCGCCGTACATTTCAATAAAGCGGACGAACGACTCCGTCTCCGAATCGTGGCTCATCACCCAGGAATGCGCCATCGTGCCGGCCAGCGGCACGCCGAACGCCAGCCCCGCTTCGAGGTCCGACGTCCCGCTGCAACCGCCCACGAACGCCGCGCGGCCCGCGAGCGCGCCGGCCTCTGCACCATGCGCGCGTCGCGCGCCGAGCTCGAAGACCGGGCGCCCGGCCGCCGCCCGGACCATGCGCGAGGCGCGACTCGCCACCGACGTCTGGAACAGCACCGTCGACAGAAGAGCCGTCTCGACGACCTGCGCTTCCACGAGCGGCGCCGTCACGCGCAGCAACGGCTCGTTCGCAAAAACCGGCTCACCCTCCGCCATCCCCCACACGTCCCCGGTGAACCGGAACCCGGGCAGGTAATCGTCGAAGAAGCTGCTCGGGACCCGCCGGAGCTGCGGAATCTGCCGGAGGTAGTCGATCTCCGGCGCCGTGAAGCGGAGCTCTTCCAGATATGTCAGCGCCGGCTCGATCCCCGCCGCCAGCAGGTACCCGCGCCCCGGCGGCAGCCCTCGGACCGACAGCTCGAACGTCGCCGACCGATTCGTATCCGCACCGAAATGGCCCGCCGCCATGGTCAGCTCGTACAGGTCGGTGGACAGTGCGGTCGGCATGACGGTCTAATGTACATCGCCATGTCCTCAGGCATCCGTACCGCGCTGCTCGTCGTGGACGTACAGAAGGACTTCTGCGCCGATGGCGCGCTGGCCGTGCCCGACGGCGATCGGGTCGTCGATCCCATCAACCGACTACTGGCCGCCTATGCCGCGACCGGCTCGGCGATCTTCGCCTCCCGCGACTGGCACCCGGTCACGTGCGTCCACGTGTCGCGGCCAGGGCGAACAGATGGCCGTCCACTGCGTGGCCGGAAAAGAAAAGAAAAAGATAAAGAAGGCAAAGGAAAAGGGAAAGAACAAAAGGAAAAACGAAGGACACCAAGAAGGACCCGGTACACGGGGAATAAAGAAACCGGACCGGACGGCAGATCACCGGACCCGCCCCCCCGACCCCGCGACTGGACCGCCCCCCCAGCGGGAACCGACGGGAGGCACCCGACGGCCCCCAGCGAGACCCAGACGAGGAGCCGGGGACCGATCGGCGGACGAAGGGACTCAAAAGGGACATTACGCAAAAAGAATACGAAAAAAGATGAAAAAAGGTAGCAATAAGAGATATAGCCAACAGATAAAGTGACATAAAAAAAGAAGACAGGAAAGAGGGTACAAAAATAAACACAACAGAAAAATAAAAAGGTAAAAAAAAAAAAAGGCTAAGGGAGAAAAAAAAGAAAAAAATAGAACGGACAAAAAAAAAAGTAAAAGAACAAAGACAGGAGAGAGGTAAAAGAGGACGTGAATAAAGGAAGTCCTGCACTGCGGTGCATACGCGTTTTGATCATTCAATTGGTGTGATGCACGTCGCCGGGCAAATTTGTACCAAACTCCGGGAGTTGAATTCAACTAAGATATGTGATGAAGACATAGATCGGGTTCGGCTTGCGGCGTTGCTTCATGATGTTGGACACGGGCCATTTAGTCACGTTTCAGAATATCTATTGGATGCCTATGCGTCGGATCGAGCTGACATGGGGCACATGCGCGAAAAGATACACGAGAAAATTACCGTCGATATTGTTCGGACGGATCCGGAAATCCGCGACATTTTGAGTGAAGAGGAATGTGATTTCGTAGCAGACATGATTCAAGGGCAGGATATGCAAGATTGGCAACGCGACATCGTCTCCAGTGAATTAGACGCGGATAAAATGGACTACCTCCTGCGCGATTCCTATTTCGCCGGTGTCAAATACGGGATATACGATCTGGAGAAGATTATTGAATCGTGTCTTATTGAGGTTGATAAAACAGAAACCTCCCTGGCAATTAGTAGTAAAGGCATCTATCGCCCTTGAACAACTCTTGCTCGCACGATATCACATGACACAGCAGGTCTATTGGCACCGAGTCAGCCTCATTTCTAACGAGATGATTATCCGTGGGATACCCTCGCAATTGAAGCGGGCAATACAAAAATGAAGGAACTTTATCAATACGACGAAAATGATAAAGAAAACTTCATCCAGAAGTATCTAAATTACCACGATGAAAATGTAGTAGACATCTTGAGAAACTGCCAACAAGAGAAAGCACATACAATTTTCAACAGACTTTACGACCGAAAACTCTTCAAAACGGTTGCAAACCTCCGGCTCAAAGATGAAACCAATATCAGGGTTAAGAGGCGACTTCTCGCAATGAAAGACGATCCGCAGCTCAGACAGCAATTAGAGACAGCAATTGCCGATCATCTTAGGGATTGACGCGGATTACGTGATTATCAAACCCTCTTCAGATTCGGAATCCTAACTACGGAAGCCGGAGTTACATCCTGAATCCGGAAGCGATCACAATCATTGACGAGTGGAGCTCCGAACCACGCACTATGAGCGATTACACAAGCGAACTGTTTTCCGCGAGACCTCCTACCGACGACGAAACTTCTCTAGAGATGGTGCAAGTTTATGTCCCCCGGACGGGAGATAACCTATCTCAAAAGCAACGGCGATTGGCACTTGAGCCAGAAATCCAAAACATTTTGCGCTTCTGCATGAAAGGTGATAAAATGTACACAATAGATGTTCTTTTACTTGTTGTCAAGAATGAACCCGAAATAGATTACGGGGGAGAACCCTCCTCCAAAAGAAGGTCTACTTTTTATCGGTCCTCATGGGCGTTAATTTTGACTTCACCGCGCATCGCTACGGCCCTTACAGCAGCTTGCTTGCAGGACACTTGGATAGTTTAGTCGCCCATGGATTCCTTAATGAAGATATTGAATCTTTCGATCGAAATGTCTTTGGTGAAATTCGCCGGCACACCTATTTTTTGACTGATGATGCCGAAGAGTTATGGAGCGATATTGAAAACGATCCAGAACTCCGAAAATGGAAAAGGGAACTCGATCGCATAAACGCTCACGACATCGCTCACGATTTTAACAAACTCTCTATCGCCGCAAAGGTTCACTACATTGTCAGTTGGCGCGGGAAACGCACAATAGAACAGGTTCAAAAGGTTGCCAAAGAGTACGGTTGGGACGTGAGTACAGAGGATATCGAAAGCGTCCTCTCCTTTCTAAAGGGGCTAGGGCTTGTAACAACCGATAAATCTGATGACATTCCGTTCTAAAAATGAAGGGTATTGTAATCATGGTAGGAGAACAACTGAGAAGATTTAGAATTGCCCGTGGTATGTCTCTCAGGGACTTAGAGACTGCTATTGATGGGCTGGTTAGTAGTCAAACGCTGTCAAAGTATGAACAAGGGAAACTGCAACCGACGGCGAGAGTCCTGAATCGAATCGCTTCCGCCTTTGGAATTAAGTCCGCCCAATTGTGGGGTGAGCCAACCTGTGATACAGAAGCCGAATCCCTTCTTAATCAGACGATGGATCCGTCTACTGATAAACCACTTAGTGAACGCCGTAAGTTTTTGCAATTACCAAAAGGCGGAGAGAAACCGTATCCTAAGCGAACAAGCGGAGGAGATGGTGGATTTCTACGAACACGATACAGAGTGGCGGGAATGGGAAGGCGGTCCCATTGTCGAGTACGATATTCCGCTAAATTGATACATAATAGGGTGCGGTTGGGAATGCAGATCGCAACCCCCCTTATCAAGGGGCAGGCGAGTACGCCGCAAAACCGCACCTGCCGTTTTGGGGTCCTATTGTGTACGGCACACGGCGTGTGCCTACTACTTTGTCTTGAGGGCACCCCATGTTGTTGTCAATTTACCTGCAATGTCCACGGTCAGGATGTCTCTGGCGTTCATGACTGTTTCAACTTCCGCCGCTGTTAATGCGCGATCATATACCGCCAATTCGTCGAGCATGCCTTTGTAGAGATTGGCACCGCCGTTCGTATCGGGTCGTCCGCCAATTTCGATGTTGTTGTCGTTCCAGACCATCACGGGACCGTTCTTCGGCACCTCTTTCTCACCCGCAAGTTCCCCGTCAAGGTAAATCTGAATCTTCTCTTCATCAAAAGTACCGACGACGTGATACCAGTTATTCGGTTTTAAGCCTAAATTTGGCAGTGAAAGCGTCGTATCGACATCGGCACCGTTAAAGGGTCCCATCTTCTTTTGTCCGGAATTGATATACCAATACAATCCTTGACCGCTACCGAGTCCAAATTCGATGTTATCATCACTTGTTCCTGATTTGTCGTAAAAGATGTTCCCGTAAACGTGTCCCGCGCCGAGAGCGACATCCGATATTTCAAAAGGGTGTATCCAAACTGCGACGGTCAGATGCTCAACATAGAGATCGCTTTGACCACCCGGTTCTTTTATCAGTGCAGGTCCTCCCGAGAATTCTATCGCGCCGCCGACTTTGCCTTTAGCAACGAATTTCGCGCTGTCGTGCAGTTCCGCTTCAAATCCCTTGGGACCGACATCCTTGGCAATATCGCCTTTTCCTTCGTTGAAGGGTAGGTAAAAGTGTAAGCCTTTCGTCACTTGTGCGGTTGCATTGAAAGTTAAAACGCAAAACGCAAGAATCGCTAAAATCCAGAAATATCTTCTCATCTTCTTGTCTCCTTTTCTATTTGGCGTTACCCATGTTAAAATCAGCAAAAGTGTCGTGCTAAGTATTTCCATTTTAATAGCCGTGCCAACCTTAAATCAAGGAAAAATCGGTGTGTTCCAATTCCGCTGCCTTAATCGGTGTGGTATATGTATAGTCCGCAAGATTTTTAAAGCTAAATAACCCCAATAAAATTTCACTTATTTTTTAGATGAACCAATGTGGATTATGTGATAGAATCATGGAACCTACCTGATGTTTTTGGCAATCACAGATTTCAAAGATGATACTATCTAAGGAGAAAAAGACGTGAAAATGAGGCTCGCACAATACGGTATTTCCCATGACCACGCTTCGGGGAAAGCCCACGTGATGAAGGAAAGTGACGAAATTGATTTCGCCGGTGTCTTTGAGCCATCAGCAGAAGTCCGAGAGACCCTTGGTCAAAGCCCGGTTTACGAAGGCGTTCACTGGTTTACGTCCAAAGAAGAAATGCTTGATGATGAAACAATCGTTGGGATTGCGGCGCAGGGACGTGTGTCACAGAATCTCACCTTTGCACGGGAGATTCTTGAACACGGCAAGCATGTTTGGTTTGACAAACCTGCTGGTGATAACCTTGATACGTTTCGAGAGGTTTTGGACATTGCACGAGACAGAAAGCTGCTCGTTCAACTCGGCTATATGTACCGATACAATGCTGGCTTTCAGTTTATCCTTGATTGGGTGAACTCTGGCAAACTCGGTGATATTTTTTCGGTTCGGGCGCGAATCTCATCAGGATTTTCAAGCGAAGACCATTGGCAACGTTGGGATTCACTCGGCGAACACTCGGGCGGCATTATGTTTATCCTCGCCTGTCATCTCACCGATATTATTGTTGCCTTGTTGGGACGACCTACACGGGTGACACCATTTTCGAGGCATGAAGGCCATGACGTGCCGTGGTATCGGAACAATACAGCGGCTGTATTTGAATACCCCAGAGCATTAGCGATTCTGGAGTCGACAGCGTTGGAAGTTGATCCGGGCAAATCAAGGCGTTTGGAAGTCTATGGGACACGCGGCAGTGCGATTCTTGAGCCGCTTGAACCGCCAGAATTGCGGTTGTGTCTTGATGAGGAACGGGATGGATATAGTAAAGGCTGGCAGACAGTGCCTGTGGAACGGCGACCGCGTTACGTCGAAAGCCTTAGAGCGTTTGTTGCTGATATTCGGGGCGAGAAATCCCCTGACCGTTCACTTGATCATGAGTTCACAGTTCAGGAAACGGTACTGCGGGCAGCAGGACTACGATAATGTGTCCTTGCTTGCGTGCCTCTATTTCCTACTACAACGCTGCGATCTGTTGTTTCACAAGACACTACTATCGCCATTAATCTTCATCTTCAATAGCGATGATTGGAACAACTGTAACGGGAAATGCCGATGGTTTGTAGTCTCCATCTGGTGCTTTGGTCGGGAATCTGTATTGAGGGTCTGTCAGAAGTTCATAGACTGCAGCATCCCCGGTTTTAACCCGTTCTCTGGTATTCAATTCCCATTCGACTTCGAGTGCCTCGTGTCGTCCTGGAAAGTCTTGTGTCCCCAATATTGATGTCAAAGCCCAGTAGATATACTCTGTAACCATACAACCATAGTCGCAAGTTTCATCCGTATAGTGATACCAAGCTTCTGCCGGATATCCGCTCTTGGGACCACCTTGTGGTACTTGCTCGAAATATCCGCCACGGGCGGCATCCATGCACTTCGCTAAGATGGACCCCTCGTACCTCCCCGAACACCTCGGGGTAAGCGTTGGCATAACCATGTTGTGTAATAGGATGCAGAATTTCCTCTAATGCGCCGTCGTAGTACCCGCCATCGGGGGCATTGATTTTGCCAGCAACAAGGAAATCTGGTTTGGTTTCTTCGCCATATAGGCCTTGACCGAATCGATAGCCGGCCTTGTCTACCGGATCCATTTCCAACTGCTTCATCTCCGCCTCTGTGCCGGGCATGATGATGAAGACGTTTCGGCTCACCAAGTGACTGAGAACCCGTGTGTTGTCAGGAACACCCGTCTTCGTCGTTATCGAGATATTGTGCCAAAACGCCTGCGGCGTGAGAGAGTTTATCTTCAGGTGTCGTTCGGCTTGCGAAGATGTGAACGCCGAAAACGTTGACGTACTTATCACAACCGACTTGCCTGAAAGCAGAAAATTCGCTCGGTATCTCTACAATTTCGATTCTCGGTGTTACTTCAATGCTTTCCATTACGTTGTCGCCAATAATTTGGGCTGATGCAAAGCTCATTAAGACCAGCATGATTCCAGCGGTCATGGTTATCCTTTCCTCCAAACTTACGTTCTTGCTTTCAGCTCCACGAAATGGGCATTGGTTAGCGTTGAGGCATACTCTCACCTGCTAAAACCCAAAGGATGAAACTCAATAAATTGGGCTTATGTAAATCGAACGCCTAACTTTACATTCTCACCCGGGTGCGTCGCGATCTTCGGATACTCGTCCAATAGATCGTCGAAATCAACAACAGGATATATAACCGGTTCAGATTTCAGGCTGCCATCGCAAAGGAGCCGCCAACTGATTTCAAAGAGTCTGCCTTCATTCCAGTTTGGATATTCGGGATTCGGTTCACTACATGCGCGTGAGAAGACAATAGTAGGTCGATTGAAATGCGCTTCGGCACCGAGATCTAATCCCGCTGGGTAGATACCGGGCCATGCCCCGGCGACAACCGTTCCTAAATACGTCACGCCGCGGATAGCCGCTTGTAGTGCCGTATGATGACCGCTATATTCAATACAAACATCAGCACCACGCTTGTTGGTGGCTTTTTAATCTCCAAACCGGCATCATCTGTTGTAGGGTCAATAACCATATCAGCACCACATTCGAGGGCTACATTGCGGCGCAACTCGAGCGGATCGACACCAATTACAGGGTAGGCACCCGCCAACTTGGCAAGCTGCAGTGCCATCAGTCCAATGCCACCCATTCCAAAGACTGCCACGGCATCACCAATGCGGACATGCCCGTCGCGCACCGCGCCGAGAGCAAAATCTGTCGGATCAAGACAGGTGGCTGCCTGCCAAGGCACACCATCAGGAAGTTTACGGACACCTGCAGCACCCCAAACATTTTCCTCGCGAAAGGAGCTGTGCCGAAAAACTCGATCTCCGACCTCAAGTTCGGTAATGTCCGCGCCAATCTCAGTTACCTCGCCAACACATATATTGCCGAGTCCTGAGGGATAGCGCACCATTCCGGAGGTGTTACCTTGAAAGACCTTATATTCTGAATCGTAGCCACCGCGTGGGCCTGCATAACCCTTATATGATGCCATCTCTGAACCGTGTTTGGCTGCACCAAACTGGCTCTTGACCCGAATTTCATTTGCTTGTAAGGGTGGGCTTTCATATTCTCGGAAAGCGACCTGTTCTTGTGCCGGTGCAATGAGTTCTCTTGGCATAATGATTAATTCCCTTCCTTCGTTTTTAGGTAGTGTTTACATTTCATCATCAAAATCGCTGGGAAATCAATGAACATCAGGTTACCTGCTGCAGATTGAATAGGTCCTTGCAGAACCATAGAAGTCTTACCATGACTGGATCCGGAGGCACAATGTAAACACAACCTAGTGGACGGCACGACGGAGCGTGCCTACTACTTTTAAGCCAAAATGTCGCGGACGACGTGTCCGTGGACATCGGTGAGACGGAAATCCCGTCCTTGGAAGCGGTAGACCAGTTTTTCGTGGTTAATCCCAAAAAGGTGCAGCATTGTGGCATGGAAGTCGTGTACATGCACGATGTTTTCAACAGCACTGTACCCTAACTCATCAGTGTTACCGTAACTGATACCACCTTTGGTGCCGCCACCTGCCATCCACATCGAGAATCCCTGAATATGATGGTCGCGCCCGGTACCTTGTGCCATCGGTGTCCGACCAAATTCGCCACCCCAGATGACTAAGGTTTCGTCTAACATGCCACGTTGTTTCAGATCGTTGACGAGTGCCGCTGTTGCCTTATCGACATAGCCAGCGGTTGTCTTGATAGCGTTCTCAATACCGCCGTGATGATCCCAGCCACGGTGGTAAAGTTGGATAAACCGTACGCCCGCGTTCGGCTAACCGTCGTGCGAGCAGGCAGTTTGATGCATAGGAGCCGTCACCCGGTTTTGCTCCGTACATATCAAGCACATGCTGCGGTTCTTTAGCGATGTCAGTCAATTCGGGGACACTCGTCTGCATTCGGAACGCCATCTCGTATTGACTGATGCGCGTTGAAATTGTCGGATCATCTACAGTCTCATCAAATATGCCGTTCAACGTTTGCACGGTATCCACAACGTCCCGCTGCTGTTCTGTGTTCACGCCGCCAGGGTTGGTGACATAGTGAACAGGATCGCCGGTTGAATGGAATTGGACCCCTTGAAATTGACCCGGTAGGAACCCGCTATGCCACTGTCGTGTCGCAATCGGTTGGTCCTGCCCACCACCAGAAGATGTAAGAACAACATACCCCGGCAGGTTTTCGTTTTCACTGCCAAGTCCGTAGAGCAGCCACGAACCCATGCTCGGTCTACCAGCGATTGCAGTGCCAGTGTTCATGAACGTGTGTGCTGGATCGTGATTGATCTGCTCGGTTTTCAGGGAGCGGACGATGCAAATATCGTCAGCAAGGCTTCCGATGTGTGGGAACGCCGTACTCATCTCTTGCCCGGATTCACCCCATCTTTTGAACTCATGCGTGGGACCGAGGCATTTGAGTGAATTTGCTTGCCCTTGGAGTTGCGCAATCGGCTGTCCCTCGGTGAAAGACTTTGGCATCGGTTGCCCGTGCAATTCTGCCAGTTTCGGTTTGTAATCCAAAGTCTCCAGATGTGAGGGTCCGCCTGCCATGCAGAGATGGATAATGGTTTTTGCCTTTGGCGGCACATGCGGCTGGGTGATGATCCCTTGCCATTGGTCAATCTCCGTCGCTGCATTGATAATTGATGGGCTCAGTAAAGATGCGAGTGCAAGTGATCCGACGCTCCGTACTGTTTTCCCAAGAAACGTGCGCCTCGTAAGGCGAAGATTGGTCTCTTCGTGAATATCTATAGCCATATTTGATTTCTCCTGTTTGCAGAAGGGAGTAGGCATCCTCTATGGGTTTCCATCGCGCGCCGAAAACCCGTGTCATATACTGGTGCCTTTAGTTGTCAGAGAATCTTTATCATCCATGTCCCATCATGTGCGGGGTTATGGATTAACCCTTTTTTCATGTCAACACAGAGATCGAGGGCTTCCAAGATCATGTGCCCAAGGAGGACAGGCATATCCTGAGGAAGGTCTGTTACCCGGATGGAGTCGCTTCGTTGCAATACGGTATATTCCACCTCTGAATAAATGACGCGTTCCACGATGCTGTTGGCGGTTTGTGCTTGAACCTTTCTGAGTGGCGTAAGTCCGAGTTGTTTGATGAGCGGTGCTGGTAAACAGAGTCCTGTGGCACCGGTATCAACGAGTGCGTCTTCGACGGTAAGTCGCCGGACATCTTCGGATCTCATAACGCCTAATCTAACTGCAACCAGATCGTCCTGATTTGCGAGTTCGATTCGTGTTGTCTGTTCCATTTGAGATCTCCCATTGTATAATCAAGGCGCGATTGAGAACCTTCCATGATGTGGCGTGCTGTAACTTTATCAAGCAGGCAGCGCATTCGGACGAACCTCCACTTCTTCTATGTCTTCAAGTGCTACTTCATTCCATTCGTCCCAAAGTTTCGCTCGCTCCGCCTCAGATAACTCGAGGTATTGTCCAAGGGTGAACCCATCTAAGAAAGGTTCATCCGAGGATAACGGTTCTCCGCCGAGTTCCGTCAAAATATCCTCTTTGAGTTGCTCAACAGTTTGATCCGCCTCGTCAAGCAACCTTTTTTCTTTGATTGCATCAGTAGCCAACTCCGGCACCATTGTCGGATTCCCTAATATCGAGTAATCGTCTCATGCAAATTCAGTATTACCCGTGAGATGGAAGTCCAAGCAGCAAGTTCGGCAGGTTCAACACCTTCTATTGCGGGTGCCTCGCCGGCTGCAACCAACGCGCCAACAGCATCAAGATTAGCAGTATACTCGGCTTGATGCTTTTCATAGAGATTTGTCATAATCTCTAACTCCTTCGGCTGCGGCATCCGAGACAACGCCCATTGGTACGCCCAGTTGATACGCTCTGGGATGGATTCACCGCCCTCTCGGATAATTCGTGTCGCAAAGACACGTGCTGCCTCAACGTAAGTTGGATCGTTGAGTAGGGTCAATGCCTGCATCGGTGTATTCGAGGTTGTACGCTCGGCGGTGCATTCCTGACGGCTCGGGGCATCAAACGCCATCATGCTCGGATGCAAGAAAGTGCGCTGCCAATGTGTGTAGAGCCCGCGGCGATACTGGCTTTCTCCCTTGTCGTGCATGTAGGTACGCTTCGGGAAGTTTAGATTTGAGTAATAACCCTTTGGCTGGTAAGGTCGGACACTCGGACCGCCAATCTTGGGGACAAGGAGTCCACTTAATAGGAGTGCGTTGTCGCGGACGGTCTCTGCATTGAGTCGCCAACTTGATTGGCGTGCGACTAAGCGATTGTAGGCATCCTTTTCGCGCAACACCTCCGTCGCTTTCGAGGACTGACGGTAAGTGTTTGAGGTGACGATAAATTTCACGATATGTTTGACGTTCCAACCGCTCTCCATAAATTCCACGGCAAGCCAGTCAAGAAGCTCAGGATGGACCGGAGGTTCACCTTGTGCGCCGAGGTCATCTAAGACACGGGATAGTCCTGTTCCAAAATAGAGTGCCCAAAGGCGATTCACAAAGGCACGCGCCGTCAATGGATTCTCTTTTGAAACGACCCACCGCGCGAGTTCCAATCGGGTTGGACGGCGGTTTTTGATACCGAGGTCCCCAAGGAACGTCGGTATCATCGGTTCGACGATTTCACCAGAATCGTCCAACCAGTTGCCTCGTGGTAGCACGCGCGTTGTGCGGGGTAGCGTGGATTCAGTCGTGAGCGAGTAGGGAATCTGCTTTTCGATCTCGGTTTTCTGCTTCCGCAACTCCGCCATCTGGTTTCGGAGACCGTCAAGTGCAGGCGTGATACGGCGATACTCCGCTGCAATCTGTTCACGCTGGCTTGTTGTTCTAACAAAAGCATCTACCTGAATTGCTGCAATCACCTGTGGCGTATGCGTGTGTTTCACTGCAGACCCACGCGTCGTCGCAATGCCCGCAACATCCCAATAAGCAGTACCACCAGACTGTGCGAAGGCCATCCCGTTAAGCACACTGCCCGGCTTCAACCCGACATCTGCTGGATCTACTTCAAGTCGGACCCACTCGCCAGCTGCTGGTAGGGGCCCCATCGGTTTGTGAGCAGGTGTGTCATTGCCAATCCCTCCGGACTCAATTTTGTCTTCACCCCAAAAGGCGCGGTGATCCCAATTTCCGTCGTTCCATTGGAGCATGACTGTTTTTGGGGAATTTTCAGGATCAATCCAGACATAAGCAAACAGTTGATCGCCTTCGGCGAGAGTAAATTTCCGATTGGCACCTCGGAAAGCGTGCTGGACGGTCTTTTCAGCTGCCGCTGTCTGGCGACGTGATAACAGTTTACTGAAAACAGGTGCTTCATTTTTGCCGACAAACGTCCATGTGCCTTCAGTCCTACCACCGTTCGCCTGTGCATCGTCCACCCATGCGAAATCAGCAGGATCTGTTGATTCGAGGAGCGCACGAATCTCGTGCTCCCATTCCGTCTGCTCTGCTTCCAATCCGGGAGAAGATGCTTTGAATATTTGCTCCAATTTCGCTAATTCGTCGTCAATCTCACGTAACCCAGACTCCTGTGCCGGTGTAGGTAGCATAACGACTGGTTCCCATTTACTACCGCCGCCGTATACCCCAGGTCCCTTAACATCAGCGAAGAACGCTGCAAAACTGTAAAAATCCTTTGCTGTGAAGGGGTCAAACTTGTGGTCGTGACACTGTGCACAGCCGAGGGTCGCACCTAACCAGACAGATGCAGTCGTCCGTACCCGGTCTGCGGCATAGATAGCGAGATACTCCTTCGCTTGTGCGCCACCCTCTGAGGTTGTCTGATTCAGACGGTTATAACCGGAAGCCACCTTCTGTGCAGGCGTAGCGTTCGGCAGAAGATCGCCAGCGAGATTTTCGACCGTGAACCGATCAAACGGCATATTGTCATTAAACGCTTTTATGACATAGTCCCGATAGGGCCACACACTCACGTTTTCGTCAGCATGGTAACCGCTTGTATCCGCATAGCGCACGAGATCGAGCCAGTACATTCCCAACTGCTCACCATACTGCGGTTTAGACAGAAGCCTATTGACAAGTGATTCATAAGCATCAGGGCTTTCATCCCTTAAGAACTGTTCCACTTCAGCAGGTGTCGGCAGCAGCCCAGTCAGGTCGAAGTTCAAACGACGGATGAGCGTCTGTTTGTCCGCTTCTGCTGATGGTGCAAGACCTTCTGCCTCCAATTTCCCAAGTATCAACGCGTCAATAGGATTACGGATCCACGCGGTATCTGTGACAGTAGGGGGTTCAACCTGCTTAGGTAGATTGTAAACCCAGTGTTCCTCCCATTCGGCACCTTCGGCGATCCACTGGATGAGGGTATCAATCTGTTCCTGCGTTGGCTGCCGATTGGATATCTGCGGCGGCATTCGCTCGTCAATATTCTTGTGTGTTATACGGAGGACGAGTTCGCTATTTTCGGGTTCACCCGGAACGATGATCGGGTAACCGCTCGGTGCAGAGAACGCGCCTTCTTTGATATCAAACCGTAAATTGGCTTGCCGTACTGCCGGATCGGGACCGTGGCACGCATAGCATTTATCCGACAAGATTGGTCGGATATCGCGGTCAAACTGAAGTTTCTCGGCATCGGCAGATTGCAGTGTAATTGCTACCCCCAGCAGGAGTATTATAAAACCCAAGCAACTGGCGCGAACCCATATTGAAGCGTCTAAACGTAATAGCTGTGTCAGTGACATTATAGAATGTTTCCTCCATTTCTTCTACACAGGCAATACCACATTACTTGCCCGTTGTTTGCTTCCTACATCAACTGTAAGTCCCTAGTATCTCCAAGATTGTTTAGTGTACTATATCATTTAAAGTGAAATATGTGCAAGGAAAATCACATAACATTTCAAGACAAACCCCAAAATGATAGGTGTTTTTGTGAAACTTCTTGTATTCTTCTTGACTGTACTAACAATGAGCATCATACCCGTGGAAGCGATATATTCATAGATGTATTTCGCTTTCATTAATTCGCTGGATTTTAATTATACTTTAGAGTATAATACTTTAGAGTATATATTTTGCGCCGCATTTAGGGAGAAAAAATTCATGTTCATTGATCGGCACCAAGAGTTAGCAGCTTTAGAGCGAATGTTTCATTCAGAAGTAGCGGAATTTTTCGTGTTGTACGGCAGGAGGCGGGTTGGGAAAACTGAACTACTTACGCAGTTTTGTAAGGGTAAAAGGAGCATCTACTTTCTCGCCAGCCAATTGAAAGAACGCGACCACCTCAGGCAGCTCACCGAAACCGCTCGGCATCTTCTCGATGATCCGCTACTGCAAAACCTCGTTTTTGGTGATTGGGAAGCCGCACTCGTCTATTTTGCCCAACAGTCAGAAAAAGAACGACTGATTTTGGTGCTTGATGAATTTCAATATCTCTGTGAGGATAACACAGCACTTCCTTCGTTGATTCAACGGTTTTGGGATTTACATGGAAAAAATAGCAAACTCTTCTTGATTCTGTGCGGATCGCAGGTGAGTTTCATGGAACAGGAAGTATTGGCGGAACGGTCCCCTTTATATGGACGGCGTACAGGACAACTCCGACTGATGCCGTTATCCTACCGCGATAGTGGACGTTTTTTCGCCGGATATCCTGCCAAGGAGAAACTAATCGCCTACGGTATTCTCGGCGGCGTTCCGGCGTATCTCCATCGATTTGCGTTGCATTTCTCACACTATTCGCAGGAGGCTTCTCAAAGAACACTTGAACAGTATATCAAAGACGAAATGCTCATCCCTCAGGGGTACTTGTTTGATGAGGTTAATTTCCTTTTACGTACAGAACTTCGGGAACCCAGAACGTATGCCAGCTTGTTGCACGCGATCGCTGGCGGGGCTACGCGACTGAATGAAATTTCTCAACGGGCTGGACTTGATCCAACAAACACGAGTAAATATTTGAGTGTCCTTCGAGAATTGGAATTAATCAGACGCGAAGTACCGGTGGCTGCGCGCGCACCGCAAAAAAGCAAAAAAGGGATTTATAAAATCGCGGATAATTACGTCAAGTTCTGGTTTCGGTTTGTGCTACCCAATCGGAGTCTTATCGAATCTGGGAATGCGGATTTGGTATATCAGCAGATGATTGCCCCAAACTTACCTCATTATATGGGGAAAATCTTTGAAGACATTTGTTGCCAATACATCCAACACTATTGGGAAGAAAAGTTAAAGATTGCTCCCATACAGGTTGGGGCACATTGGGAATCAGATCTTGAAATTGACATATTGACGGAAAATGTTGACAGAAGCCACTGGTTTGGGGAGTGCAAATGGTGGAACGCTCCAGTCGGAGAAAATGTCCTAAACCGCCTCATCGAAAATGCTACGAAACTCCCTGACCGGTGGAATCGGAATCCGAGATATATTTTGTTTTCTGCCAGTGGTTTCACAGATGCCCTCAAACAAAGATCAGAGAAAGAAGGTGTGTTTCTCATTGAGGCAGACGATCTGGTTTAGTCCATCTATTCGAGTACACATTTTTTAACAACATGTGGAGAAATGAAAATGGCTAAAATTATAGCAGGACATCGTGTTGGACAAGATGGTACAATTCGTGTCGGGTGTTCGGCGGTTATTTTTGATAAGGATCGGGAAAAAATTCTATTGACGAGACGCGAAGATAACAATCAATGGTGTTTACCGAGTGGAGGGATGGAACCAGGCGAAAGCGCAAGTGAGGCATGTATCCGAGAGGTTGACGAAGAAACAGGTTTGCAAGTTGCAATAAAACGTTTAATCGGCGTTTACACAACCCCGCACGAGTTAGTCGTGTATCGAGACGGAAATAAAATCCAGTTAGTGGCTTTATGTTTTGAGGCGGAAATCGTGGGTGGTGAACTCCGGCTGAGTTGCGAAACAACCGAATATGGATATTTTTCCTATCAAGAGATACAAGAATTGGATTTGCTTTTGAACCACGCGCAACGGATCAAAGATGCATATAGTAGAGAAATGACGACTTTTATTAGGTAACGGATCTCTTACAGGACTTACGCAAACGTCATTTGGGAAGAAAGCGTCCGCTTCGGATTCTGTGAGCGAAACCGTGAAAAAGAGAGGTCGCCGAGGCACGGGGACCTCGGCGAACAGACGCTTGCTGCGTAAGTCCTATCTTAGATAGAAAAATCTAAATTTGCGGAGTGCAACTTTAATTCGATAAAGTGATCGGGCGATGTGGGTCGATGAACCTGTTGTTCTCATCTTTGCGTCGCGGCTCAGGCAGTGCAGCGGCTTTCGCTCGCAACCTTGAGAGTGCGTCGGCGTAGGCAGGCGCGTCAATGAGATTATTCCGTTCATCTGGGTCTTTGGAGAGATCGAAGAATTGCTCGGGCCATCCTTTATTGTTGTCGAATCGGAAATACTTTAAACTGCCCTCTTTGACCATCACAGAGGGACCGTTCTGGGCGCGCCAGAGTTCACTATAAACGGTATCATGCCACTCCGTTGCATTTCCATCAATCATGGCACGAAGAGAGCTTCCATCAAGTTCATCCGGTGCAGAGATCTCTGCCAACTCACACACAGTCGGAAATAGATCAACTAACGACACATTCTGCTCAACGATTCTCGGTTCTCGTCCAAACCGCTTCGGATACCAGATAGAAAGTGGTACGCGTGCCGAAGCCTCGAAGTAGCTCTGTTTTTCCCAAAGTCCTTTCGTGCCAAGCATCTCACCGTGGTCAGAGAGGAAAACGATGATAAAATCATCCAAAACATTCAAATGTTCGAGCTTCTCAATAACTCGGTTGAACTGTGCATCCATCCACTCTATCATCCCGTAGTACGCCGCGGTTGCCGGTGTGCCTGACGGTAGGTAACATCTTGACCGACCCGGACCCTGAAAAAATCGTCGTATCCAAACTGCTCGTTCGGTTCTTCAACAATCGGCTCTACCCGCTGCATATAATAGTTAAACAGGTCAAGAGGACATTGATACGGATAGTGTGGTGCTATGAGGCTCACCGCCATACAGAGCGGGTTCGACTTAGGACGATCGTAAGGGGCGTTGACAAAATACTCCTCAAGAAACAGCAGCGCACCATCTACATTATATTGGTCATGGAGCATCCATTGTCCCAAGCCGGGTTGTGCATCTCGCACCTCCTGAATCACCTTGTTCTGCTTCATACCGGTTCCGGGTTCTCGTTGAATTTGCGCGTAGTGTTCATCCTTAACAGCCGGATATGGATAACCGTTAGCACCGATAATATCGCGTCCGACCCGTTCCTGCCAACCGTGCATCACATCGGTCCCGACAAAGTGCATTTTTCCTGCGCAGCAGGTGTAGTACCCGTAATTCCCCAACTGCCCTGGAATCGTTCGGACCTCTGTCGGCATCGGATCGCCGAAGTTGAGACTTCCACAGTTACGGGGATAAAGTCCTGAAAGAAAGCTCTGTCGTGCAGGGACACAGACCGGCGAAGGCGTGTAGGCGTTACGGAAGTAGATGCCTTCGTCCATAAACCGAGAGAGTGTCGGTGTGCGGATAGCCGTGTCTCCTTCGATCGGCAGGACATCGGGACGGTGTTCGTCGTTGATGAGGAAGAGTATATGCGGTTTATTTTGTGGCATGGCTGCTTTCGGTTACGGGTTACGGCACGGCGGAGCGTGCCTACTACTTTAATAATGTGACATCAACCCTTCTGCCCCAGGGATATGCTTTCGCTCAAATTCGGGTGTAATCCAGCGGGGACCAGCATCTTTGCCGGGATTACGATATCCGTAAACGACTGTCCATCTGGTGTCACTATCTTGTTTTCTTGGGGTTACTGCATGTGCAGCATGCGTCCACATCAATGCGACAGTTCCTGGCGGCACCGATAATGCCTCAATTTCTAACGGTTCACCGTTCTCAGGATGCGTTTTTCCTGCCAACCAACCTTCTCGTAATGCTTCATCTGTTGCCGCCTGAATTTTGGGATCGCGGTATAGATGGCTTCCAGGAACTGCCTTCAAACCACCATCATCTGCCTCAAATCCGTTGACATAAAAGAAGATACGGACGAAACCGTAGTGGGGATCGTCTTCAGAGTATCCGTGGCTATGCCAGCCGATACCACCATTGCCACCGAGGCGATTGAGACTCACGCAGTGGTCGTATCGGATTTCTTCGCCAAGCACTTGACGGACGAGTTTAAGCATTTGCGGATGCGGGATCAAATTTTCGAGATAACTATCATATTCAGCTGCAAATCTGTTCGGTTCATACCCTTTTTTACAGCCAGATATGCGCGATTCAATCCGAGCCAAGGATTCTGTCAATTGTTGCTGAGCATCAGTAGTCAAAAGTCCGGGAAGCACAAAATGACCAACACGATCTAATTCTTTCCGTTCTTGATCTCCGAAAGTGTAATCATGAAAGATTGGGTTTTGTGGCATAAAAACTCCTAAGTTTACACTTTTATGGTAGACTTTAGAATTACTGGGACACTTTGCACCCGCCAAATCAACATCAAATGTGCGTGCAGAATACGCGTTTGGTATTTCGCCTAATTCGTCGCGACTACCCTAATAAAGGGACATCAAGCCTTCAGCACCGGGGATCGGTTTTCCTTCAAATTCGGGCGTAATCCAACGGGCACCGGACGGTTTACCGGGATTCCGATAGGCGTAAACCACTGTCCAACGGGTATCGCTATCGGGTTTCCTTGCACTGACTGCATGTGCTGCATGCGTCCACATCAGTGCGACTGTGCCTGGAGGTGCAGATAACGCCTCAATCTCTAATGGTTGACCTGTCTCCGGGTGCGTTTTTCCCGCCAACCACTCTTCTCGCAGTGCATCATCTGTTCGTCCATGGATTTTTGCATCCCGATAGAGGTTACTTCCAGGGACTGCTTTTAAACCGCCATCGTCCGGTTCAAAGCCGTTAACATAGAAGAAGATACGGACAAAACCCAAACTCGGATCGTCATCGGAGTATCCGTGGCTATGCCACCCAATGCCGCCGTTACCGCCGGGTCTGTTCAGACTCACACAATGATCGTATCGGATATTATCACCCAACACCTTTCGTGCAAGTTCAAGCATCTGTGGATGTGCTATCAGACTTTCGAGATAACTGTCGTATTCAGCAGAAAACCGGTTCGGCTCATGCCCTTCTGCCGGCGTGCGTGAGAGTTCATGAATACGCGACAGCGAGCGTGTCAGATTTTCCTGTGCATCGGGTGTAAGCACACCGGGCAAAACAAAATGTCCATCCCGATCTAACTTTTCCCGTTCCTGTTCACCAAACGTGTAGGCATGAAACAGTGAATCTCGCCTGCCAAGACAGGCTTTCAGGGGGGGTTGTGACATAAAAACTCCTCCCATTTAGTGATACTTTCGACAAGACCGAGGGTGCCCAGTATTGAACCCCACTCGGTCTTGCCAACCAACGCAATTTTTGGGTTTCGGAGTAGGTCAATCGGCTTTAATGGCAGCCCAGGTCGTTGTGAGCTTACCTGAAGGTTCAATATCAGCTGCTGTTTTTAATCCGTCATTCATGATGGTTTCAATATCACCATCGCTCAACGCCACATTGAAGATGGTAACATCGTCAATTATTCCACCGAAAAACGCACCCCACTGACCATGTTGTCCAGTGGCGAGATAGATACCTAAGAAAAGGGGTTTGTCGGTTAACGGGTTCCTTCCTAAGTTTGGTCCAGTTACACCAGAACCAATCGAATCAGCGTCCATATATATTTCAAACTCTTCACCATCCCAGGTAGCGGCAACATGATGCCAATCTGTATCTGGGTTCCAAGGTGCATCTATATAGTGAAGCGTGGCGGGTGGGTCATGCGTATGATGTCGGATTATAGCCCCATCCCACCAAAATCCAGGCGCCCAATCATCTTTGGTCACAACAGCCATGCCAGCAGCGGGAGGCTTATCTAATTTAAACCAAAGGGCAATCGTGTGTTCACCGCCAACGTTTAAAGAATCATCGTGCGCAATTTCGACGTAATCATCCGAGCCGTCAAGACTCAAACCCTTGCCAAATTTGCCATTAACCCATTTTGCCCCACCTTCAATCGTGCCGTCATTGCCTGTTCCAGAGGAGTCTTCGGCTTTGTTACCATTCCCCTCATCAAAGAGCCACATGCCGACGCAATCTCCAAAGTCAATTTTAGCAGAGCTGATACCTACAAACATCAGACTCATAACCATTAAACTGACACATAATAGTTTTAACCTTGTGACTGTGGTTTCCATCTTTTATTCTCTCCTTCATTATTCTCAAAGTTAGCGAATTACTCACTGGCTATTACTGAAAAACGAGTCTCACCCGAACAGAAAATTTCTTACTATTTAAGTGTAGCATGAGATACAATCTCTTTCAAATTAAATCTTGCTATATCGGAACGCAATTACCTCAGTTCAGGTCCGGGATTCCGATTCCATTTTAACGGTCCCGCGTCGTTTTCACAGATCGGGGCAAGTTCGGCGATTCGTTCCCAATCTGCTTCTGACCAAGCAAGACTCTGTCGGAGTCTCCCGATATGTGCTTGCATTCCTGCAGGTAACAGCGCAAAAAATGGGTGATACCAGAGCGTAATCACCGTTCTGTGTTCATCTGATTGATTACCGTGTGAAGCGTGTAACAAACGAGAATCGCCGATAACGAGGTCTCCTGCTTTCACCGGTATGTCGACCTCATCAGGGAAATGCTGATATGCAGGATGGTCGGTATCATCCACGCGTTGCAGTGCTTCTCCGTGGGCACTGGGCAGTATGTCATGCAGTGGATGTCGATTCAGATGCGAGCCTTTAATCACACGTAGGCATCCGTTGTAAGGCACTGTGTCAACCAAATAGTACATCAGAAACAACTGTTGCGGCAGTGCCGTGTAGCTGCACGGATCGTTCCAACCCCACCAATCTTGATGCCAAAATAGGGGTGGACTCTGGGGCGGTTTACTGATGACATACCCCGATGACCATTTCGGTCTCAAGAAACCTAAAGCCTCCATAGCCTGAAGTGTCCGTGGATAAACGACCAGTTCCGCGAAGAGTGAATGTGTATAGACGCTGATCATGCTGCCAGATGAACGGTAAGCGGCGCGCGCATCTTCCGTCTGGGCATCAAGTAACTCACTGGTCACTGTCCGAAGCCGTTCAAGCATATCTTCCCTCAAGACCCTCTCAACGACGCAATAACCGTCAGCGATTAATTGATCATATTTCTCTTTTGGTTTTTCGACTTTCATAACTACAACCTTTGATAACCCCTAAGATTCTAACCGGAAGGCACCCTGTGCCTGTTGTTACTGTTACTTTTTAGCCACTACAGAGAACCCATCATCCTCTGGCTGGAAATCTTCGAGCCTACGCTTCTTGTAAAAATGGAAATCCATAAATCCTGCTTCCACAAGACAGTCTTTGATTTCGTCCGGAGAGAGACACTTAACGAAATAGTCGCATCTGTAATGTTTCTGGGTTTCTAAATCTATTTTAAGCCAACTGCATCTTGAGCCGTCATGACTTTCGTCATATTCTTGACTTTGCAGGACAAACACGTTTTTCTTAATTTCACTCCAATTAGCCTGTGGAAATCGCTTTTTCTTTATTGATTGATTTGCATGAACAAAATAGAGCCTGCCGTTAGGTGTGAGTGCTTTATGGATTCGGTTTAAGAGCGACACCAACCCTTCCTTGGAACGATAAAAAAATGAGCCTTCAAAGAAAACAACAGAAAACTTCTCTTCAAAACGCATTTCATTATAGTCGCCGAGAATAAATTCAATTTCTAAATTTTCGAGTTGTGTGATATTTTGAGCCTCAGCAAGAAAGTTTGGCGACAGGTCCATCCCAACAACGTGATAGCCTTGGCGAGCGAATTCACGCGAATAGCTGCCAATGCCGCAACCCGCCTCTAATATGTTGTCATCTTTAGATAACAGCAGTGCTTTTTCATAGAAAGGAAAATGTTTTTCTACAAATTCTGATGCCTCAAAATTGTGTCTGGCATGCTCAAGATACCAACTATCATATACCTCGTGCCCAAAATCGGTTCTAAGAAACTCACAAGGGAGATCGTTCATGTTTCCTCCTAAGGTGAAGATAGGTTGTTCCTTGCACAGGTTATTCGCTACTTTACTCATCAAACCACATTTACAAACAAATGTCAAATGAATTTCAGAGCGTTCAGTTAGCATGTCTGAGTGTACATTGTGGCTGAAAACGGGATTTACTTGAACGGAACAGGAGGATGGAAGTATGGGAGGCGTACTTATGAGGATAGGAAGGCGCGGTTAAAAAACCGCGCCTATGAGAAAACGGTCATTTGATACTATTTGAGGATAACCATTTTGCGTAGCGGGGATGTAGTATCTCCCTGCAGTTGATAAAAATAGATACCACTCGCAACAGGTTCACCGAAGGCATTTTTGCCATCCCAATATGCTGCCTGACTCCGACTCATGTAATAGCCTGCAGAGAGATGTCCCAACTCCAAATGCCGGACGACTGTGCCGTGCATATTATAGATGGTAATCTGGACATCGGCAGCCTTTGCCAAGTGATACGGTATCCACGTTTCGGGATTGAACGGATTCGGATAGTTCGCAAGCAGCACCGTCTTGTCCGGACGCATTGATGCAAGAGTGCTTTCAAGCATTGTGATCGCTCGCTGGTACTTCAGAGACCCATCGCTTTCAACACTTAATTTGTGCAGCAGCGACTGAAGTGTTTCTCTATCTAATGTCTTAAGCACCGCTGGGTCCAAAAGGGAACTGATCCCGTTTCTATCCACTGTCGGAGCAGATCCTCCCAGAACATCAATATCTGCCGTGAGGTCAGCAAGCGGCGTAAAATCCTCAATCGGACATCCTGCGAGTGTTAAAGTTTCAAGACTAACTAACCCTGCGAGGGGACTGACATCCGTAAGTCGGGTATTCTGCGCCAGATGTAACGTCTTTAGGTTGGTTAAACCATCAAGTGATGTGATATCGTCTATCCGATTGAATTCGAGGCGTAAATCTGTGAGATTCGTCAGACCCACAAGCGGTTCAAGATAACCTATCCGATTGTCCGCGAGATGTAGCGTCGTCAGATTCGTCAAACCCGCAAGCGGCATAATTCTATCAACACGATTACCATCAATATGTAGCGTTGTCAGGTTCGTCAGACCGGTAAGTGGCGTGAGGTCGTTGATGCTATTGTAATCGAGATGTAACGTCGTCAGGTTCGTCGCGTGTTCCAATCCAGTGATAATATTTATCTCTGGCCTGCCTCTGTTGGCATTCAGTGTCGTTAGTTCCAACATTGCTTTTTTGGTAATATCGGCACGTGACCCTAACCCGAGTTTTCTACGAATCATCCTCGCCAAGACTGGATCTGGCACTTCGACAATATCAGCCAAAACATTAATAGTAACCAAAATGCTGTTGATCCGAGTACCATCCGAGACCACTACTTTCACCGTATGGACTGGCTTGGTTTGATAATCCAGTGCAGCCTTGGTTCTCAACTGACCCGTACCACTATCAATCTCAAACATATCCGGATCGGCATCGGTGAGGCTGTATTCTAAAGTCTCACCGATGTCCATATCTGTCGCTGAGACAGGCACCCCAATATTCGCGCCTACCTCTTCTTTTTGGTGTATCTCGCGGGTCGCCGCGTCTCCGTCTATAAACATGGGTGCGAATTCGTTTATGGGTTCAACAGCAATGCTGACCTCCATTTCAGCATCCATCGTACCATCAAAGACACGGACACTTACGAGATAGGCACGTGGCTCGTTGTCGAAAGCCTCATAGTCGAGTGGGGCATAGGTTTTCAACTGTCCCGTAGTACTGTCAATCCCAAACATATCCGCGTTCATGCCACTCAGGCTGTATGTCAAGGCGACTTCGGAGCCATCAGGATCGATCGCCGACACGGGATTCCCGATGTTTGTGCCTGCCGCTGTATTTTCCGGGATCGAACGGTAGATATGACCCCCTCCACCGTTAGTTTCATCAATAACCTCAGCAAACATCGGTGCTTCGTTGACATCCGTCACCGTAATAGTCACGGTGATTGCGTCCCTGTTGTTTCCAACCGAAGATGAGATGATGACCTTCACTTGATAGGAGTCCTTGGTCTCATAGTCCAATGTGGACTTGGTTTTCAACTGCACACCACGGAAGACACGTATAACTTCGAACGCACTTGCATCGGGACCACGAAGTATCGCACTGGAGCAGCTATTGACTCCCTCTGCGGTATATCTCAATGATGCTCCAATGTGTGTGCCTGCAGGCGTATTTTCTTCTATTTCGCGAGTGGTTGTATCACCTTCTGTGAACTCCAGATCAGCGTAAACCATACCTTGTATATTAAAAATAACTAATAGTGCCAAGAAAATGGATATGCTGATTTTTTGCGTCAAAATTTGCTGTTTCATGATAAACTCCGTTTTAATTATGTTTATTTCTATTGAGTTCTTATGCAGGAAACTGCAGTTTAGTATAAATGAATTTATTTTTTTGTGGACCAATCTGCCGATAATTGTGCTTCAGTGTTTTGATATGCACTTTTCGAAAATCGCGTCGCCTCATCGAGGGTGACTAAAACTACATGATAACACCCCACTTTTATGTATAAGCACGCTTGCTACACGGATCAACTATTCAGACTTATTAGTCTAATCAGAAAACGATATTCAATCCAAAATGGTTTACTTAAAAAAATAACATAATTCTATCGGCAACAAATTCTCTTGCTATATCTTGACTTTTTTCCCAGATGTGCTATCATTGAATTAACACCGTTTAAGTAAAATCAGGTCATAAGTGGATAGGAGAGAAAGATGTCTAATATAGTAAGCCGCCAAATTCGTTTGAAGAATCGATTATTCGTATGCTAAGGAAAGATGATTTTGAGGTCGTGGAGTGCCCTTCCTGAACTCGCCACAGGAGAAGTTTTAGTCCAAACTGTATACATCAGTAGATCCGTATATGCGTGGTGGCATGCGGTCCGCTCAACCCAGTCAGTCCCTCGAAGGCGGATGTGCCGGGCAGGATTGTGCAATCAAACAGCGATCGGTTTAAAGTTGGGGATTATGTGACAGGTGGACTTGGGTGGCGGGATCATTACATCGCGCCAGCAGGGAGTGTAACCGCTGTTGATACAACGATTGCTCCACTGCAGTCGTTTTTAGGTGCCGTCGGTATGCCCGGACGCACTGCTTACTTTGGGTTTCTGGAAATCGGTCAACCCAAAGCAGGCGAAACGGTTTTCGTCTCTGCCGCGGCGGGCGCGGTTGGCTCAATCGTGTGCCAAATTGCAAAAATAAAAGGCTGCCGCGTTGTCGCGAGTGCGGGTTCAGATCAGAAAGTTACGTGGCTGCTCGAAACAGCAGGCGTTGACGCGGCATTTAACTATAAGCAGGTTGATGACTTGGAAGCCGAACTCAGGAAACATTGTCCAGATGGGCTTGACATCTATTTTGAGAATGTGGGAGGCAAACATCTCCAAGCTGCGCTTGCAGTCATGAATATGCACGGACGTATCCCTCTGTGCGGCATGATCTCTCAATATAACGATATTTGAACCTACCCCCGGTCCCACAAATCTCAGTTCCGCGATCGGCAAACGAATTAAATTACAAGGTTTCATCGTTACTGATTTCATGGAACGGAACTCTGAATTTTACAGTGATATGCGCGAGTGGATAGCTGGAGGCAGGATACAGTGGGAAGAGACGATCATAGAAGGCTTAGAAAATGCACCAAAAGCGTTTATTGCACTTTTCACGGGCGAAAAACTCGGAAAGATAATCGTTAAAATTGGATCCGAATAAAACGTAGGGAGTCGCGACCAAAGTTCGCTCCTACAATAGGAAGGAGTTTTACAATGGCAACCAGAACCGCACGTGCCACTGTGATGAGTGGCAAAAGTTTTGAAGTTCGAGAGTATCCGATAGTTGACCCGGCCCCCGGTACAGTTCTCGTGCGCCAGGAGTTGGGGGGTATTTGCGGCACTGACCTCCACAACTGGGAATTTCAGCGCATCAATCATGATATTATCCTTGGGCACGAGAACGTCGGTGTAATTGAAACTTTAGGTGAAGGGGTTGATACAGACTTTCTGGGGAATCCGATTAAAGTGGGTGACAGAATTGTCCTTTCTCCCAGCGGCGGTCTCGGCTTTTCTCCGTCGGAAGAAGCACCGTATCTGCGCGGTGGCTTCAGTGAGTACATTTACCTATCAAACCCGTCGACAAATATGTTTCTTAAAACCGATCTACCACCTGAAATTGCCGTTCTCGCGGAACCTGCCTCGTGTGCCGCGCATTGCGTCTCACGTGGAAAAATCGAATTCGGGGATACGGTTGTGATTCAGGGGACCGGTCCCATCGGGCTGCTTGCGCTTAATTGGGCAAGAGTTTCTGGTGCAGGCAGGCTTATCGTCGTCGGTGGCCCCCCCGGAAGACTTGAGATGGCGAAAAGGTTGGGGGCAGACCTCACCATCGACATCGCCGAGGTACCGGATCCGGAAGAACGAAAGCGGATTGTCCGAGAAAATACGTCACAAGGTGAGGGGGCAGATGTCGTCTACGAATGCACCGGTTTCCTTGCTGCTATCCCGGAAGGCTTGGACTATATCAGGTACGGCGGAACTTACGTTGTATATGGACATTTCGTGGATGTCGGCACTTTCGACTGCAACCCGAACCAGATGTTGATGCGAAAAAACTTGCGATTGGAAGCCGGATGGGGTTTTGAAAGGAAACATTTCCTACGTGCCATCCCGATGTTAGAGAAACACGCCTCCCTCTTTGATGGGTTTGTCAGTCATATTCTCCCGTTAGAGGATGTGGACAAAGGTTTTGACGCGCTCCACGGCAGCTACCACTTAGAGGGGAAGGATGCGATTAAGATCGCTGTTAAAGGAGGGGCTGTTGGGTAATTCGGGGTTACAAACCCCTCCCACAGGTAAGCTGTGTTTTGAGTTGTAGGCGCGGTTTTCAACCGCGCCTGCAGAATTGCTTAGGCAAATGCGTCTTCTTCCACATCTGCCAGAAATACGCGTGCATTATTTTGCAAAGCAGACCTATGCACTGCCGCTTCAAACAGCAGTTCATTCCATGCTGCCTCACCATCTGCGGGGAACGGAGTGTCGGCATGTATCGCTTTAATCACACCATCAGCCATCCGTTTGAAAGACTCCGGCATTTCCGGTTTATCCTGCTCGGCTTCCCAGACTTCCTCTATCTCAGAGTTATTCGCTTTTCTGCGGGAGTAAGAGCCTTCCAGACCTTTTGCCTCCGCATAAAATTCATCACCAAGCACCTTGACTCTGAGCGGATGATCGTCGTAGCCCCACAGGTTTGTGCCGCTCAGGGAACCGATGACACCGTTTTCCCAACCGATATGAATTAAGCGTCCCCAACCCCTGGATTCATTTGGATCTCCGACAACACTCACCCATTCTGGTCTGCCAACCGTCCAGAGAATTTGGTCGATGACATGGGACCAGCAGTTGAAATGTGCCCGCGCGTGTACCATCCGGATCTCACCCAGCCGTCCCTCAGCAACATCGTCATGAAGTTTACGGAAATGGTGCATGAACCGATAGTTGAAATCAATCCCGAATTTAAGGTTGGAGTCGCGCCACGTTGCGATAGCAGGTGCCGCAATTCCGAGGTCTTCCTCGCGTAACCGTTCCTGTCCCTCTAATCCACAGAGCGGTTTCTCTGTGAATACATTCTGTCCGGCTTCGAGCAACTGCCGCAGCGGTGGGATCCGTCGGGTCTCATTAACTATGAGAAGTACAAGATCCGGATCACAATTCGCTAAGAGTTCCTCAATTGTCGGATACCCCGGTATCCCAAAGTGTTCTTTTGCTTTCGCGAGGAGTTCTGGGTCCATATCGCACACCGCCACTACCTCTGCATCAGGATGGTTGTGGAAGTTTCCACCGTGCATCATCCCCATACCTCTACCGCTGATAGTTGCACATCTTGTCATGGTCAAATTCCTTTCTGGTTATTGATTATTCAATTTCAGGTATCCTCAAGTGGTCGCAAGTTTACCTTCTGGTTGAACGGCAAGCCTTGTCGGATCAAAGTTGTCGGCGAAGATCTCTGCCTCATCTAATCTTCGGGGTGGAAACCCAAGTCTTCAGACTTGGGAGGAAAATCCGCTCCTATAAGTAAAGTTCAAGCGTCTTAGCACTTTGAAATCAGAAGTTTTAGCGTTTTGGCAAAGACGGGTGCCCGCTAAATCGTAGAGAGAAATACCGCGTTTTCCAAAACCACTTATACGCGTCAATCCATGTTTGATATGTTTGACGAGCGTGTTTTTTACCAATCCATTCTGAGTTGTTCCACCATAGCGTGGACGTTTACCGTTGTTTAGGACTTATACAAATCTCACAAATGTGTTAAAATGTATTAGCATCTATACAAATCTAACAGCATTGTTTGATTGTTGCCATAATTCCTGCTTCAACGTCCACTGCCTCGCACGAGGTCTAACACGGACTCCACAGGCGTTTATTGTCGTCCTCCTCGGCAACTCGTGGCGACGGTTAAGGTCAACGGGACACAGATTGATAGCAGCATTGAAGTCCTATCACATTCAAAGCCCACATTCGGAGCAGTGATAGGTGCGTTCAGAAAGCACAAATCTACTTCTTATGTCCGCAGTGTGCTACATGTTTTTGGAACTGGCAAAGAACCTATCTGCTTCGGTTATCGGTATTGCCACGCCTATCTGCTTTGTATTTGAGCAGAGTTAGAAAACGTGAGAGTGCTGAATCAGACAATGCCTTTGCTAACTTCCGATTTTTGAGCAGTCCACTGATATTCAGTGTCTCTATAACCGATAGCAGAGGCTTTACGGGACAATGCGTAGAGTCGCTTGGTGTGAGCGTCTTTTCGGATATTACCTATTCGGTTATGGACGCTGCTAAGCCTACGCTTCTGTTTATGCCAGTTTTGCGAACCAAGCACTTTACGCGATAAAACACGATTGGCACGTGCTAACTTGCGTAAGTATCGCTTTAGAGGGCGTGGATTGTTGTAAGTATCACCATTAGAACAGGTAGCAAGCGTATTTATACCTACGTCAATGCCTACCGGTTGTTTATCGTCAAACAGAGGGGGTTGGTGCTTATAGTTGTTGCCATCGAATCGTCTGACGGTGATAGAGGCATACCATTTGTCATTGTGCTTTGACACAACGACCTTGGTGATTTCACCCGTATATCGCAGTTCCTCACGCATGCGTATCCAACCTATTTTGGGGAGGTTGATGCGTTTCTTATGGACTTCAACAGTTCTTCGCCATTGTCTGCTTGGTATGAACATTTACCACTTCGGTTCTTATAGACGGGAAACTTGTTTTGTCCTTTCTTCCAACGGGTTACAGCGTCACCGAGGTTGTGAATAGCGTTCTTGGACGCATTCTGTGAGAGTTCTTTACACCAGTCAAACTTATCGTATTTGACTGCGTTGAACTCACGCTTTATGTCAATATGGCTTCGCCATTGATCTTGGTCTAAACCGACTTTGAACGACGACAGAGCGAAGTTATACCCAACACGCGCATAGCCAGCATGTTGAGACATAAGCGTAGATTGCTTCTTATTTGGATTGAGTGCTATTTTCTGGGTTCGGAGTTCCAAATTGTAGTTCCAATTGTTCTTTTTCTTCGGATACGATATTCGCTATCTCTTGAGCCATTTTCTTCGACTTATGAGAACGTTGTCCGTAGAGTTTCGCACAAAATACAGTCATGATTTCCATTACGTCACGTGTGAGTTCTTCCTCAAAAGAAGGTTGTTCACCTTTGTTGATAATGACAACTTCTATACCTTTGAGTTCGCAAATACGAAAAACGATCTCTGCACCAAATCGGAGAAGTCTATCTTTATGTGTGATAACGAGACGAGACATTTGACCCTGCACCATTAACTCAAGGAGGCGGAGGAGTCCTTTCTTATTATAATTCATGCCACTACCTAAGTCTCTTATGATTTCAGTTTGCCACCCATTGTTATTACCAAAATGCTTCAAGACGCATGCTGACGTTCTAAATCTTCCTTTTGATCCGAACTCGAGACGCGGGCATAAGCATCGTAGGATAGGAACAAATCGTTGACACCTAATAACTCTTGGAGACTATAAAGGCGAGTGCCTTTCGGTGGTGCGGTTCGCAGGTGCGATAACACCGTCATCCTCCCAACGCCGAGTGTTTGTGTTGTGAACACCAAGTATTTTAGCCGCTGCCTCGCCATCTTAACAAATCTATCATTCATACTATAATTATACCACATTTCTATAGTGTTTGTCAGTGTTTTGTCAATAAAATCTTACAATGTATAGAAATGAATAATTTGTATACATGTATACATTTGACTATATTTTGCACCTGCAACTTACCCCGTTCGAAAATTTCAATGCTTTCAATTGTTAATGCGCAACTGTAGGCAAAAAGGGGGTGCATTATTTTCAGAAAAATTGCAATACCAATGTCTAATTGATGATGTCTCATAAAGCGTCTGTCTAGTTGTGGGTTGGCCCGGTGTGCGGTGGAACTGCAGATCGCAAATGTAAAGGCAAAGACACAAATTTTGCCGCGTATGGCAAAATTGGGCGCGTACGCCGCCCAAACCGCACCATAAGCGTCCATTTAAGAAAAAACTGCACCGTTAGTAACCTCGTAGGTTGGGTAGAACGATGCGCACAAAGCCGTGTAAAAATCATAGAAAATGAAGTTTTCTCATACACGCCTGCCATCAAGTAGAGACCGAGTGAAACCCAACGCTTTGTCTGAGTATCCGTGCCTATGCCGCGGTGATCGAAGTGGGGTTCACTGCGTTCTGAATGTATCGATAAACATAGGGATTTAGCGGTATGTGGAACCCACACATCTACCTTCTCAGTTCCGTCACACCACAACCTACGGGAGCTGCGGCTGACCCCGGAGGGAGCGCGTCGTCTATACAGATTCGTCTCCGACTGGGTCTGTGCTGTCTTAGAGACGCAATACCTTTTTCTGCGACCTAGCGTGTCTGGGACTAACTCAGAGAAAAATAACTGAATATCGCCGCTGCACATCAGTGTTGTTTAACAGGTCTATGCGAGGGAGGCACACGCACTGACAGTCTTATGCTACGGCAGAGGTTCCTCAGCAGCAGAGACCGTTGCGAGTTCTATATATGTCAAACTAGTAGGACTTACGACAGCAGCGATTTTAGCATAGGTGATTTTATCCAAATTAACCCATGTGTAGCGCGTCCTTAATTTTGAGGTCCCGGTGCCTCGCAATGCTGACTGATCAAATAGACTCTATCACGGTTATGGGGTATGAGTCGTTGACAGAGATATTCAGCAAGGAATCCGTGTTTGACTTGATAAAGAGTTTGACCTGTTTCATAAAAGATAAGGTATCATCATCATGTCCGCCAACAAGTCGTTCTTGACATGCTCCCAGATCTGTATTTACAATACAGCATATTTTTGTATGTTTGTATTAAACTTTTAGTTAATAAATGCCTTTGAAGTGCCACCATCTTACCTTTTTTTCCGGTAATCATTACCTACTATACATACTCTGAAAATCCGACCATTTTTTCAGAGTAAGGTTTTACCCTGAAATGCCGAAAGCACGTCTCACCTTGGCTCTTGCCTATTTTTTTCGATACCCCACTTTCTCGTTTTACTCTGAATACTCTGAAATTCGGATACTTTTCCATAGTTTCATACACCGACAGTCCAATAATATTTTTTCACCGTTCACTCGCGTTCACATTAAAGTCGCGATTCGAACACCGCCCCTCCGTGGTGTGCAGGAACTCTAATAGGACTTTAACAAATTAACCCCATTTGTAGCGCGAGGTCCCCTGTGCCTCGCAAGGCTCACTTGATCAAAAACTTCTAATCAGCTAAGGTGGGTATAATACCAAATTAACCCCATTTGTAGCGCGAGTCCCTGTGCCTCGCAAGGCTCACTTGATCAAAGCTTCTAATCAGCTAAGTGGGTATAATACGGAATTGCCGCTTTTTGCGTCTAACTGTCCGATATTTGCTCAATTTGCGTAAGTCTTGTAGCACTATACTCCGCACTCTAAATGTCGCTGCGTATCTATTTCTCGAGCACCGTGTGCAACGTTCAACAAGCAATTCAGGTGGATCATAGAAATATACTGCTAATCATCTTATTTACGCATCTTCTAAGTCTATACTGTTTGGATCCTTTCGTGACGTGGGTTTGTCCTAGACCAAAATGGTGTCAAAACATTTGCGGAGTGGTAGGTTAAACATCCACCAAAAAGTTTAACGTCGTTCCATGCAGTTTTATTCAAATATAAAATCAAATCACGTTAATATCATCATCATCAGTATGTATTGCAGCAAGTTTCGTGCCAAGCCCTTCGTACAATAAATAAGATATGTGTCAAACCTCTTGAATTCAAAATACTTTGTGCATCACCGTCTTAACATAGGCCCTACTAAGTTTATCAAAAGCACTTCACTCTGTTGTTAAAAAATATAGTTAAAGGGATGGAAACCTATTTGTAATCACTACATATTGCAAGACGCAAAAATTGTAATAGGCAGCGCAATATTTGCGTGTATCTGAAATCATTGTTTCATTGAACGCGGTATTTTTGGGGGAGGGGTAACATTCAACTGAATCCAAAAACAATTTGACATAATCAAAAGATTATGTGATAATTTGTTGTATCTTTGTATCTATTTTTGCGTGCGCGTTTGTCCGCGCGCTTTTTCAAGAAAGGAAGTTTTAGAATGGCATTTACATTTCACCACGTCATCTCCGCTGTGCGACAGACTTAGAAGGAGCGGTTCGCTATTATGAGAGATGTTTGATGGAAAAGTTGATGAGACTGTTGAAGTCCGCGGCTTAAAAATTATCCGTATGGATATCGGTGGCGAACGGATTTTCCTCTCACAAAATATAGGGGTCCCTGGAAGTCGAAGACACCAGCGGCAATCCGTCGCTGGGGTCTACCACTCGCTTTCAACGTAGAAGACCTGGACGCGGAGGTCGCAAAGCTCCAAGGCGAAAGTGCGCGGAACTCGAAGATCTGAAACCTAACGGTTGATGATGCGTTTTTTCAAGGGACCCGATAACGTCCAAATTGAACTCATTGAGGCTTAGCGTCGGCGAAATAAAGCCGCGCAAGCAGTACCATGAAATTCAGCGAACTCTTCCATACAATTCAGGGTGAAGGGCAACTCATTGGTGTTCCCTCTGTTTTTTTCCGAACGAGTTATTGTAATCTGAGATGTGTTTGGTGTGATACACCTTACACATCTTGGGAACCTGAAGATCGGGACATCACTGTTGCTGAAAGCGTTGCTGCAATCACGCGGTACGGGTGTAAACATGTCGTTATCACTGGCGGTGAACCTTTTATTCAACCCGAGCCGTTGACGGAACTCTGTCATGAGCTCGATAAACGCGGACACCACATTACGATTGAAACGAACGCTACACTTTTCGCAGAGGTTGCAGCGCATCTCATCTCAATGAGTCCCAAGCTACGGAACTCCAATCCACCGGAAGATAACCACTTTTTCAAACGCCACGAACGCGAACGCATCTGTCCGGAGGTTATCCGTAAGTTTTTAGATGCGTATCCGTGCCAAGTGAAATTCGTTGTCGATACACCTGAAGATTTGACTGAGATCCAGACGTTACAGACAGAGATTGGTATCCCTGCCGAAACATCCTGCTGATGCTCAAGGCACAACGTCTGCTGTGTTACAACAGAAACAAGAATGGCTGTGTCAACCGGTCTGCAAAGAGAACGGGGATCGTCGTCCCGCGCGTCATGTCGATATGTGGGCAATTTAGGTGAACAAAAAAGAGTATGAGATGAAGGAAAGAGGGAACAAAGAGGGGTCGATAGAAATGAGACGAGACACGAACAAAGAGAAACACGGGTTTGTGAGAGTTATAAACCCCGCGGGTCTGATTTTAGTTCGCCCCAACAAATCGGGAGATGACAGAAGTGAAGTATGAACATCATCCACGACTGAAAGGTGGCGAGAGACCGTCATTGATGCCGCTGCAAGGTTTGAAATGCAGTGACGAGATGTCGCCATTGCTGGCGGTGTTGTTTATCGCAGCGAGTGAACCCGACTTCCCGATAACGCGCAGCGACACATGACCCGTCTCTGTTACAAGATAAATACGTAACAGAGCCCGACTTGTTGATATCCACACACCGTCTATTACGTGTAACGACCTGGTGGGCATCAGACCGACACAATCTGTCCGATGGCAGGGACTACCACTGTTGTCGATCCGTAGCCCCGATTGGGTGACATTTCCCGGTTTCCGAGAATTCCATCGCGAACCCGCGCAAACAAATATTCTCACTTACATCCATATATCCGGTATCGGACTCGTCTACGGACCCGTCGGCGAAATGTTTGATATGGCTTACGCCGATCCCGGACGTGTTGCTGAAACATTACAACAGCATCGCGAATATCACGTCGGGGTGAAGGTGCGTCAAGGGAAGTGAAGGGACAGGTGGGTGATAACGGTGTTGAACCGCTGAAACTCGCTATTTCAAGCGCCGAGCACCAGGAACATCTGTCAGTGCCATATCGGTGCAAGGCGTGCCGCTTCCCGATATATTGAGATTACTGCGGCCCGGTGATGTGATTACGCACTGTTTCCAAGGCAACGGTGATAACATCGTTGACGAAAAAGGCAGGGTCATCCCCGAGGCATGGAAGGCGCGTGAGGACGGTATTATCTTTGATGTCGGCCACGGTGCTGGAAGCTTCCATTACGAAATCGCCCAACGTGCCATGGAGCAAGGCTTCATCTCCGATGTTATCAGCACCGATCTACATACGGAAAAATCAACGGTCCCGTCTACTGCGAAGGCTATCCAACGTGAGGCGCAGCTCGGGAACCTGAAAGTTGGCACCGTCGCAGATGTCGCGGTATTTGAAGTCCTTGAGGGTGAATTTGAATACTTTGACGCGCACGGGAAAAAAGTTTATCGGGATAAAAAGTTGAAGGCAGCACTAACGATACGTGAGGGGAAAATTTAGGTAATTTAGGTATAGTAAAACCCGAAAATATGTTTACATTTCAGTAAATAACAGTTCCGCGCCCTCCCCCGCTGGCGAGGTTTTGCGGTGTACTCACCCAAATTTTGCCACCGCGCGGGCAAAATGTCTTTGCTTTACATTTGCGATCTGCATTCCTAACCTCGCCAATGTATAGGTAATTGTGGGTTTTACTATATATCGTTGAAAAACACTGCTTTAATAAAAAATAAGACTTACGCACAACGCGGATATTAACGGATGGAAGCCTCTCCCAACGTTTTCCAGTCTTTCCAATCTTGCAAACAAACGAAGGAATTTTGCGTAAGTCCTAAAAAATACACATCTATGGCGAAAAAATAAATATGGCAAATATAATAAGCAGAAAACTAAGTGGCTGTTATAGGAGAGTTCTGACTTTTTTATTAGTGATTGTAGTAGTCAGCTTGATTGCTGTAGGTGTGGTCTACTGGCAAGTCGGTGGGCCTGAAGGGGCACGCTATTGGATGGCAGAACGCGCGCTGAGCAGTGTCGAAAAACACCTTAAGTCAGAAGATCAAAGACCTGATGGCATTCCAGAGGAACAGATTGTTGAAAACTTTCAACGCGCTCGTGAAGCAACTCGGAAACGACAAGTTAATCTGACATCACTCCATAAGGTGCTAAAATCGTATCAGACCGAGTTTAATGAAAAAAAACCGTCAACACCAGAGATTCAGGAGTTTCTCCGAACACTTGAGCGCACAGTTCTTACAGATGCTGATAGTAAGAAATCTGATACGCGTTAGTAACGCCGAGAACATCTAACCCTTTGTTTTCGTCAGAAAAACTGTACACAACGCTTTACTGAACGACCCACGTTATTTATAGCAAGTATGTAAATGTGTGGACATTTCAGTAGGTAGCAGCAGCTGGTTCTAATCCGCGCTGGACGAGGTTTTGCCGGCGTAAAGTTCCCCACGCGACTCTCAGCGCTGTGCAGGCAAGGCAATTACGCGCATTCCGTGTGATTCGATATGCTATCTGGCATTCCTAACCTCCCGCACAATCTCCCAGTAATTTATCATACATTTGCCCTATAACTCTTTTACTTTGTATAACTTTTTTTGTTATATATTGTCATATAGAAGCATGAATGTTTTGTTATATATTGTCATATAAAATTATGAATGTAAATCTAATAATTTATTTGTGAATTCGCTTACGTATGTTTTAATGACCTCTCAGCATTTTATTGAAATCTACAGGTTATAACATATATGGATTCATTGAAAAATATTCTACAACAATGTAGGGAAAAACAGAATAGAACCTCAAGGCAACGGAAAACAGTGGTCTCGCCCGCGTTCCGTAAAGAGTTCTTTCATCTCACCGTTCATTGTGCAAACGGCTATTCAGTTCTCGTTGATGATCTTAAACAGGCCTCCATCGCCTGTATGCCGCTCGCGCGCGCGCCAAACAAAACCTGGATATGCGCAGCGGTTTTGAGAGTGCGCATACCAGCTATACATACAAAACAATCCGGCAATGGTGTAGCTATCTTCTTCCAGTGGCACGCATCTTGGGGCAAAATCCGCTTTATACGGTGGGCACCTCCTGAACGCGATGGTGCCCTCTGGCATGACCTGGAGTTCACTTACCAAGCGATCAACACAGCACCCGAAGCGGTCTCAGATTGCCTTGAAGCACTCATCAGCCTGACGAAAAACCCGCTCTTGACAATGACACCTCGCTGGCGATTACGCTTTTCTGTCGTATTAACGATTACTGCATCGCAAAGCCGACAGATCCTTTTTACAAACATACAACCGCGACCCCAGAAAACGCGATCATAGAGATATGTATCTCGCTATCTCAGGCGTAGACTCCTATACCAATGGACACACCAGCCACGATCCTGATCGGTAACTTATCGCAAAACCGCCGACTCTTGAAAAGATGTCCTTTTCGCCCCACTTGATAAACTCAAGCAGACTACATCAACCCAGCCTCCTTCTACCTACGTTTAGAGAAGAATTGTGAAACCCGGTACCAGTATAGCACCTGACCAGAACACGAAGCGAAATCATCGACTGTCAGAGCAGGGAAGCTTAAGCATACACTCTCGCGATAAAACGTTTGCCCCATGACGATTTTACACAAGCAGATACGTACGACTCATACACACGGTTTCACCAACTTTGTTTCCAGCAATGTGAGATCTCTGCAGTATGTATTCGAGATCTGGTGGCGCCCGCGGTAGATGACGTCATTAGGCTGCCTTCGCGAAAACGACGACTGCTGAAAAGTGCTTCGCCATCCGACCGATCACACGGTTATGCTGTCGCAACGCATCCGAAACGCTGTCTCTATAGCCTTGAGTGGCGGGTCATCCGAGATCGTCTAATGCGCAAGGGGTGTGCGAGAGCGATAGCACATATTGGCATAAACCTTAAGAATTTTTCGCGCATTACAATCGCGGAAAGAGACGTGACAGATAGACCGCCGGTAACTATGCACCGATGCGATGGGATGACAACGTGTAGAGTCTTCTGTTGTCGCCCGAACGAAAGATGGATACGCACGCGCGACCGTACCCTTGGCCTCCAGGTAACCAGATATTCCAGATCCGCACACACCGGTTACCAGGGATACATCACATCTCTTCGACTATAATGCCGGTAAATACTTCGTCATGACACAAGCAGCAAAGACTTTCTTAGATGCGATCGAAACGGAAGTTGCGCGCGATACCCGCATAAAGCATGCAATGGTCACACCACTAAAGTCTTTCAAAGGCGAAATAGATTGGGATACACCCGTCAAGGATGCGGATGTACTTTGGATTGTCGGAATCCCAGAATGCGGGTTACGTTCGCTCTGGCTTCAAGCACAATGCCTCTTCGGTGCTGACGAGACCCCCATTTCTTATGAACGCGATGGTTCAGGCTATTTTGAAGACAAACGGCTCCAAACCCTTTATGAACATACAGTCGCCACTGCAATCACCGAATACATCCAGAAGTTCCAGATACATCTGCCAAACAAAAAAGTCGTCTTACTCACTGCACTCCCGGTTCCTGGTATTACAGATAGATCGGAGACGCTCTTGTTCGACTGGGTAGACTACGAGATTGCCGGTAACCTCGATAACCTCGCGGAGACGCTCCGAATCCGTAGATGTTTTGAGGCAGATCGAGACGATCTGACTGCTACATCCAACAAAAAGGAGGTTCAACGAATTTTAGGGTGTTCATCGCGACATGCAAACCGGGTACTTATGGAACTTAGAGGCGGCGAACTGCTACGAGTCCCGATGCGAGAGCAAATCCTTGAAGCACTCGCGGATGGCGAAAAGAAAACAGCGGAACTCGCAGAACAAATTGAGGGGCATCCGAAAGCTGTTATCAACGAACTCACACGCCTTGTCAAAAGAGGTGAGATTCTCAGAGTGCGATGGGGCGTGTATGTCCTAAACAAAGAGCAGTTTTCAATCAAGCAGGATGTATAGTCCTGTCCATCCTCTAATCCTAAAAATCCTGATTCAAACAATTATGGATCGTCTTGTCCGTACGACCTTAGACAGAAAAACCCGCTATTATCTCCCGTATCTGGTTTATAGAAACGTCGTCGCTTAAACGCGTATGAATAATATGTGTAAGTGCGCTTTGGAATCTCGCTTGCGCATCCGCCCATGCATCGAGGAGCATCCTATTTTCGGTCGCTTCGGGCTGCGCGGTAGCTCGCAAGAGTTGATGGATCACCGAGAGGTAGAACAACAGGTGATGACCGTCAACACGTGCTGCGACCTCTGCGGGTGGACAGGTTTCACGGTGTGTGACTTACCCATTCGGCGTAAGTGTTGACGAGCTCTCTGTCTAAGAGGGACACGAAGTTAGCATTTTCTAATGGCGAGACAAGAAAGGCACCGATACTATTGAACAACTGCACAAGGCGCATCTCTTGCCAATTCCAACCGATACTCGCGAAGTCAATAAAAAACGCAGATTCGTCTCGAATGACGATATTTCGGGCGTTGTTGTCCAGATTCCCGAGTGTTGTCGGTGCATTCTGTAGACGGTTGGCGAATACGTGCCACGCGTTCGTGAGTGTCTCTGTTTGAACAGATGACATCGGTCTACTACTAAGATGTGAGAGATAACCGACGACTTTTTTGCCCTGTTCCAGTAAATCTCGCAGGGTTGTGTGTGCATCAAAACAGAAGATGTATGGCGCGAACTGTGCTGCGTGGATCGTGAAACAGGTCTCAATCTTGCATAATTCTCGGAGTATAGTGTTCAAAAGTGGAGTCAGGCGTTGTATGGATTTCTCTTCGCTTTGTGTGAGTGCGTCAAGCGTAAATTCACCACACCACTCTAATAGTAAGGCTTGGAGATCTTCTGATTTCCAAATAAGTTGCGGCACTTGACAACCGTTTTCGTGTAACAGTGAAAGCACGGCGGCTTCAATCTGGAGAGGCGTATATCCTGCATCGACGACGGACGTAGTAATATCGTGCTGTTTTAGGAGATAACTCTCGGTGCCGAGTTTCAGGCGGCAAACGTTGTGTCTTTGCCGCATACCGTGCCGGATGCGTTCAAGTTTGAGAGCATCGGCATCTGTATTGAAGTGTGCAGCAATGTGTTTAATCAGATATTCCACCTTTTTCTCCTCCTGTTAAGTTATACCACAGACACCGATAACCGACAACCGATAACTGATAACTGATACCAAATTAACCCCATTTGTAGCGCGAGGTCCCTGTGCCTCGCAATGCTCACTTGATCAAAAGACTTCTAAGCAAGTTAATTTGGTATGATACCAATTCTAATTGATGATTTCTCATAAAGAGTCTACTATTTTTGGTTATGCCCGGTGCGGTTAGGAATGCAGATCGCATTTGGGTGAGTACACCGCAAAACCGCACCATAAGTGTCAATTTAAGAAAAAATAACCCTCGCTGCCCCAGAAACGGTAGGCGCTGTTTGAAACTGCGCCGGATCTTACACACAACCTTGGCTACTTCAGACCCCTCTTGAGTCCTGTAAGGACGGTATGTTTATAGAAAGGCATGGAAAAAAATAATCTAACCCTGTAAGGGTGGCATGTTTATATTCGCAGCTCCCAAAACCCTAAATTGACACTTATGGTACACCGCAAAACCGCACCTACCGGGCCTGGAGAATGGTGCGGTTAAATAATGCGATATAAACTTTTAGAAATGGTATGATAACCGACTACCTCCGAATTTCCCTTGACATCCACCTAAAACGTGTGTTATAAAACTTAAACTTGAAATTCAACCGTTTCTGTGGTAAAATATTTATAGTAATTCTGATGAATAATGGTTCATCAGGCGTTTAAACTTCAATCGTAATACAACACACCTCCCGATTTGCACAGTGGGTTCTCTCATGCTGAGAGTCTGATGCAAATATGAAGGCGGTGGACGCGGAAACCCAGCAGAGGCAGTGTCGCTTCTGCGAACCTAGGAGGTTTTCTTGGCAGTTACAATGAAAGAACTCCTTGAATGTGGAGTTCACTTTGGACATCAGACCCGTCGCTGGAATCCGAAGATGGCAGAGTACATCTTCGCCGAGCGGAACGGGATTTATATTATTGATTTGCAAAAGACGTTACGGATGCTTGAAACCGCGGTAGAATTCGTGCAAGACATCGCTGAGAAGGGCGGCGGGATACTATTTGTCGGTACAAAACGGCAATCCCAAGAAGCCGTACGAAGCGAGGCTGTTCGATGTGAGATGTACCACGTGAACCATCGCTGGCTTGGCGGTATGCTCACTAATTTCCAGACCATCCGTCGGAGTGTCAACCGTTTGGACAAATTGGATGCCGATGAAACGAATGGGGTCTTTGAACAGATGCCGAAAAAAGAGGTGATAAACCTGCGACGCCAAAAAGGCAAACTCGACAATAACCTCAGCGGGATCAGAGAAATGAAAAAACTCCCTGAAGTCATCGTCGTAACGGATACACGTAAGGAGCATACGGCTATTGCCGAGGCGAATAAATTAGGCATCCCTATCATCGCTATTGTTGATACGAACTGCGACCCCGACCCGATTGATCTGCCGGTACCAGGGAATGACGATGCGATCCGTTCGATCCGTCTCATCTGTACAGTTTTGGCGGAGTCAGTAATTCAAGGACGGGGCGGTGCGTCAGAAGGTGCACAGGTCTCAGAAGAGGCAGCGCAACCCGAACAATCCGAAGCCGCTGCACCCGTCGATGCAGTGCTTACAGCGGAACGACATGAGGAAGAGAGTACCACGATTCTTAAAGAGGCGCAGTTGTCCGCGGAACCCGAAGCTATTGGGGAAAGTGAACAACGTCAGACGCGTGCCCCCCGTCAGCGACGGAGAGGGAGAGCCCCTCGGCGGCAATCCCCATAAAAGATTTTATAGCGCGATTGCTAATTAAGAGGCAATCGCGCCATAAATATTTACCAGTTCCGGCGCGGTCAGAACAGTATAACGCCTTAACTTATATGATAACCGTGCCTGCTGAAAAAAATAAAAGAGGATGGATGGCAATTACAGCAAAGATGGTTAGCGAGCTCCGTTCGCGCACTGGCGCGGGGATTATGGAATGCAAAAAGGCACTAACCGAAACGAACGGAAATATCGACGAAGCAATTCAGAAGTTGCGGGAGCAGGGTTTGAAAGCTTCCGAACTCAAAGGCAGCAGGGTAGCAGATGAGGGATTGATTGTTTCTTACATCCACCCTGGAAGTCGTGTCGGCACATTAGTCGAACTGAATTGTGAAACCGATTTCGTCGCGCGGACGGAGCAATTCCAAGAGTTGGCGAAAGAGATCGCGATGCAGGTGGCAGCCGCTAAACCGAAATACGTTAAATCCGAAGATGTACCTGCCGAGGATCTTGAAACTGAAAAATCGATCCTGAAAGCACAAGCCGAACAAGAAGGCAAACCTGCCCATATCGCTGAACGGATCGTTGAGGGACGGATCTCTAAATTTTACTCAGAGACGTGCCTCTTACAGCAGCCTTATATTCGCGATACAGATCAGACCATTGAAATCCTTGTTAAGAACGCTATCGCCCAATTGGGTGAGAATATCGTCGTCAAACGTTTTGTCCTTTATGTTCTTGGACAGTAACGACACAGAACCGTTTAGTCCGGAATTTGCGTAGAGATTGCGCCAGCAGCATCAAGGATTGAGGCTGCGGACTAAATGGTGATAAGCTAAGAGGTAGAAGCACAGCTTCCATCGCGATACCATGTAGTTGAGGGCAGTATCCTTGCTGAGTTTTTGTATCGCCCCACAAGTGTCCGCGATGTCTTATAGGGAAAAATCAGATGCAACAGATACTTCAAGAGACTGAATCCCGGATGAAGAAAACAATTGAAATAACAGCGACGAAGTTGTCGCTGTGCAACGGGGCTGCTACGCCAGCACTTTTGGATCAGGTCAGTGCACTACTACGGCACTGCACCAAAGTCCGCTGAGTCAGGTCGGTACTATTACGACCCCTGAACCGCGCCTGCTTGTCATTCAACCCTGGGATAAAACGCTAATTACAGAGATTGAGAAAGCGATTGCACACTCGGATTTGGGGTTCTCAACGAGCAATGACGGGAACATTATCCGGATCCTGGTACCCGAGCTCACAACAGAACGGCGGACTGAGTAGTAAAGGTCGTCCGTAAACTTGCCGAAGAGGGTAAAGTGGCAATTCGGATTATCCGCCGGATGCCAATGATGCTGTCAAAAACTTGACAGCGATACAGGTACGGCGGCGGTAAAGTAAAGGCCGTAGTGGTGAAAGAGCGCGGAAGAACCAGCGGAACCCAGTGCAGCAGCTCACAAATACACTCACCAACTTGAGGAACTGACGGAGGCGAAAGAAACGGAATTTTAGAAACTTAGACAGACTTACGTAAACGCCTTGCTGGTGAGGTTTCCAACCGGGTCCGCACCGTGGAGTCAGGACGGGGTGCCAACGACCCGTACTACGTAGGACGGCATGGAAAAATTCCGTAAATCCTATTCTACCAAGACAAATCTAACCCATTTGTAGCGCGAAGTCCCTGTGCTCGCAAGGCTCACTTGATCAAAGAATTCTAATACCAAATAACCCCAGTTTGTAGCGCGGGGTCCCTGTGCTCGCAAGGCGCACTTGATCAAAGACTTCTAACTCACGATTAAGTCGGGTATACAGCAAGTGATTGGGTATCAGATTAGGATGTTGGTGTTGATCATGATGTAGTTGGTCAATTCCTACTGTTCTATTCGACCGTAAAACGTAAACGCAGTCAGACTTCCTACGACGAGCGCGGCGGAGCCTGAAGAGAACCCAAAGGAATACGCCTATAGTCTCTAATTCAAGCGGGATCGCAGAACCTATGTTTGGCGAGAGCCCTGAGTGTGGTGTGCTGGTGCCGTTAGTTTTCCTGATTATTTATTGGGGAGATTGGCTCTCCTGCTACTTGTACTTATCGCTATGTTGATGATGCAAGTTGAGTTACTGTCGCCTGGCACAACATTCACTGAAAAATTTAATCCTGTGATGTCAGTGTTCCTACTGGTGTGGGTTCTGTTCATTAGCCCATCTTTTGCCGAACCTAACAAAGACTGTATCCGTCCTCGGCGGTAACGTTTAGTTCTTTACTTTCGTGTTTCATTTACGTTTTCGCTGAAGCATCTTTAGAGCAAAAGTTGACGGTGAGTTGATCGCTGTCACGCTGAAATTAACCGGTATTTTAATAATCGGTTGGGTATTGGGGTACCATCTCATCTTGCTGCGGAACGCCGGATCGAACGGTAGCCAATTCATTTTTTATTGGCTGGAACAGTCTGGTGCAGCGACACCGGTGCTTATCTCGTTGGCAGAGCCTTCGGTAAAACATAAACTCGGTACACCGTCAGTCCTCGCAAAACAGTGGAGGGAACGATCAGTGGGTTGGCTGTAGGCACTTTATTGGCTGCTGTGCTGGGGGTCATCCTCCTGAAAGGAACACTTTCTTGGGTGAACGCTGCTTTTATGGGCTCCTGTTGAGTGTTCTCGGGCAACTTGGGGGACTCAGCGCATCGCTTTGAAGCGGACTGCTGGGGTTAAGGACTCGGGAGACCGTAATTCCGGACACAACCACATGGCGGCTTATTGATAGATGTGACAGCCTGATAGTACGCCTGCCTCTATTACTATTTGGAATTGACTGGCATTTTGGGTGGCTGTAATTAGCCACCAGCGTTGACAGTCCTTCACAACATTCGTAGACATTACACATGAAGCATATCGCTATACTCGGTAGCACGGGTTCTATTGGGAAGAACGCCTTAGCGTTGTTGAAAGCATGCTGACGAATTTAATAGTCGTCGGTCTCGCAGCGAACCGAGATGTTGATACACTTGAACAACAGGTTCGGCGGTATCGTCCGGCGTTGGTGGCGTTAAATGAGCCGACTGCTGGCGGGATACTCCGGGCGCGCATTCGGGATATCAATGGGACGCAAGTGCTCGCGGGCACGGAAGGGCTTCAAGCCGTTAGCGACAATGCCGAGCAAGCCATCCCAGTCTTGGAGGGAATGGGCGGTAGCACAGGGCTCTTGCGACCTTGGCGGCGATCAATGCTGGTAAAGACATTGCTTTCGTTATAAAGAGTTATGGTAATGGCGGGACCGCTTTGTTAACACAGCGGTTAAGGCAAACGGCGTTAACTTGATACCGATAGATGGCGAAATGAGTGCTATCTTCCAATGTTTTAGAGGGCGCACCGCGACTGCAGTCAGAATATCATCGACTTCCTGATTACTGCCTCTGGCGGACCGTTTTCCGAGGAGGTACCGAATCAGAACTCTATTCTGTAACGCCAGAACAAGCACTCCAGCACCCGATTGGAAGATGGGACAGAAAATCACTATTGACTCCGCAACGATGATGAACAAAGGGCTGGAGGTCATCGAAGCGAATGGTTGTTTAATATAGAACTCTCAAAATCGACATCGTTGTCCACCCGGAGAGCATCGTTCATTCTATGGTGGAATGGACAGACGGATTCCGCGCTTGCACCAATTAGGTTCCCCACAGATATGCGTATTATGATTCAATACGCTTTAACTATATTCCGCGTAGACTTTCCGCACCGGTACACGTCTGACATCTACAGGAGGCGCGCACACTACACTTTGAACCTGTCGATTTTGAAAAGTTCCGTGCCTCTCGTTGCGTATACCGCCGCAGAAGTTGGCGGTACACTCCCCGTGGTATTGAGCAGCGCGGATGAAGTGGTCGTGGCGGCGTTTCTTAATGCGGACATCGGTGTTTATGGACATACCTGCTATCCTCGGACATGTGATGGATAAGCACACAGTGGTCACAGAGCCAACACTCCCAGATATCCTTGAAATAGATCAGTGGGCAAAATCAACAGCACGTTCACTGATAAAAAATCACACAAGCTCTAATAAACAGGAGTGAGTTGAGGCATGAAACCTCGCTCCTAAAGAAAAGGGTAATAGACATGGAATCTGATTGACTTCATTAGCTCGTCATTCCGTACATCAAAGCTGCGTTTCTCGCAATTATTCCGCTCGGTTTCCTTATCTTTATTCATGAATTCGGTCATTTTATGCCGCGAAACGATGCGGTATTACGGTAAATACCTTCTCCCTCGGCTTCGGTCCGAAACTCATTGGGGTTCAGCGAGGTGAAACGGAATATAAATTTCCTTGCTGCCATTTGGTGGATACGTCCAGATGGAAGGTTGAAAATCCCAGCGAACAGACCGGGGCACCCGGCGAATTTGCGACTGCTCCGATCAAGAGTCGCGCGCTTGTTGTCGCGGCAGGACCTGTTGTTAATCTTTTGTTTGGTGTTTTGGTTTATTGGCTCGTTTTCGCTACTGGACCTATAACACTGGACGCTGCTCGGTTAATCGGCGGATAACAGGCTTGCCGCTCGGTGAGAAAGAGGCAGTTCAGATAGGTTGGGTCGCTAACGATGGAGCGGGTGCTGATGGTGGATCATGCCCGGCGACATACTCGTTTCAGTCAATGGGGGACTCGATCGCCTGGTCTACGTCCAAACACGGATTTTACAGCGCGAATAAACGTGGAACGGATCTCGTTGGAGCGACGATGGTGTCCGCCAAACCCTCTCTGTCAAACCGGATCCTATACCGAGTGCGCAGACGGTGATATCGGCGACGAAATTCGGGTGAGCAGCTGGATGACGCAACAATCGTTAGCCATGTCAAAGAAGGGAGTCTCGCCGCACATGGCCGGCATTCAAGTCGGACGACCTGATTGTCAAAGCATCAACGGTGAGAGGCTCTATAGCGTCCCGTACTTTCGCCGTTACAGCGTGTGGCACCCTTCAGCGACTGGACTGATGAAAAATATAAGGGACACTCGAGAAAGCATCAGTGAAAATCAAGAGGCATTATTACCGCTTGCATTCGCCGGGGTGCACTTGGAAAGTATTCACACGTGACCCATTATGCACGGTGGATGTCCGCCGCACCACCTGCCGTGATTGCCCGCGTCCGGGCCTTTTTCGCAGTGTCAAAAAGGGAGTCTCGCCGAAAACCGTGGGATCAGATGAGATGTGCTTGTTTCGGGGCATTTCGTCTGGGAGCTGCTTCCCTTATTCTTGGCTGCGCTCTAATTCGCTCGTCTCGCATGGTATTCCGTTTCTTTTTGCTGTTACACTTAACGGAGATGGGAGAGGAGACTGTAAACGAGACGATGCTCTACTCGCAGCTCATGGCAATGGCGAACCAACCGATGGAACTCGGTGTGGATACGCGAGCTGGGTAACCTGATTGAACAATAGCCTTTTCAAGCGAGATCACATCACTGTTCAGAGACAGACCAGCAGAATGAAGTCCATGTCGGATGTGATGTGCGGACTTCCCTCATTGCGGCATGCATTCAAATGGGCTCCCAAAATAATACCTTTGCCGGACATAATTCTTTTCACGGGGTGGCGAAAGTAGTTGAAGCGACACTGGTTGACCTTGACAGCCGTCGGTTAGATAGAATCGAACGCTCCGACAGTGCTAGGCGGAGAGGTATCACCGTAAACACCTCGCGAGCTCCATCATCGGATACGCGAGTGCTACAATATACCATGTTTAGCCGTCTCGCTTGAGCAGTGTATTTTCTTATCGGGTTTATCAGCATTCAATCTCTGCATCGTGTCAATCTGTGCGCGATCTCCCGATTGCTGATGCGGGCAGCTCCGATTTTTGCCGTTGAGAAAATCTGTGGAAAGCCAATGCTCGAAGGCACAAGAGGTTGTTCAACAGGCGAGCATCAGTCACTTCTGATTGCTGTTGTTTCTGATATCACTGGTTGTGTTCGATGGCATGTCTTATTCACGATTTCTAAGGAAATAAACCTATAGCCTATCAGTGGTCGGTTTCCATCAGCAAGAAAGTAGCGGATCCTAATCAGAAACCTTCTTTTTAGCTGACTGCTGAAAGCCAATGCTGAAGTCAATCCTGACTAGGGTAAAACCATAACTGATAACTACGCATAGGCATAGTACACACAACTATGGATACGGTTAGCCTCAGAAAAGAGTGTACATAAAACTCGTGGGTCCACTGTGAGGATATACATGGAAGATCAACTCTACTTGGTTCATAGAATACCGAACTACGCGGAACCTGAACAGCAGTCGCCTTATGCGGATTTCGTTACCTGCGCCCGACAATGGCAACAGATGCTGCGAATTGCGTTTCAAATGTCGTTACACGAAAACGACGATAGCGTACGTTTTTGGCCTCGTCCCCGTGCGGGCAGAATACGAACGCTGACCTTGATGTTCATCTGTGTGAAGCTACCCGGGGCTGACGAGATAGGCAGGCGTGTGAACCTTTGTCGAGTTTAGAGCCGGTCAATTGCGTGACGCAATCTTGAGTCCGGGATTGATCTGATGAAACTTAATTGCGCACGGATGTTATATTGCCAATGTGTTACTTAATCATGCCGTTCTGGCAATAGAAATCCTGATATGTAGCTGAACGACTTTCCGTTGGTCGCAACCTGTAGTCCTTATTACTACGCAATATAGAACATGATTCAACCGAAGGTGGGGATTGTGGCACTTGGGAGCTCAGCCGCATGCAGATGTTGCTAGATCCGAGATTGCATTACAAAACTTGCGATGGGGTGACGTCATGAGTGCAATGCGCCGGATTACCTGCGGCGTCCAGCCGCCACAAAAGCCACCTGTTGTTATGCCGACACTTCACCCAGCATTACCTTCTCAGAAATCCATATGTCCAAACGTGATGTGTGGGAATAGACGTAAAAACCGGTACTTGCATCAGTTTTTGGCACCACAATAGCTAGAATAAAGGCAAGGCAGTCTCAGCCATCAGTAAAGACGCGTGTCTGATCTAAGTCAGACAGCCTCTTTACTGACTGCTGGGAAATCCGACAACTGATACCATGCTAAAAGTTATATCGCATATACCGCACAGCCATCATCCAGGGCCCGGTAGGTGCGGTTCCTAACCGCGTTTCGGGGCATAATCAAAAACAGTAGACTCTTATGAGAATTCAGCAAATAGATTGGTCTATGACATATTACTAATAACAAAATTATGCGTTATGCAAACGTGCGATTTTTCCGCTATCAGTAGAATCAGATATTACCTACGCGTGCCACCGCCGCTGGGATCACAGTTTGCATAAACCCGGGGTCTACGAGTATTAGCACCGTTTACGTACAGAGCATTCATGAGCAGGAGGGGTCGTCGTTGAACGGACTTGATGAAACTGAACTCCGCTCCCAATCTATCAAGGATGTGGCTCCACCGTGTCTGACGAAACACGATGTTCTCGTCTGAGATGCTCACCCTTACGAAATGGATGGAGGACTCATTATGTGTCTGTTCGTGGGGCGTCGCGCTCTTTCTTGCTGTGCTCTAAGCCGCGTGTGCGTGAAGCCAGAAAAAGGAGCACGTCCGACTCTTGCCCGGGGTTTCAGCATCACTCGGAAGAGTCCAAAAAAACTCGTGGCACACGTTTTGGAGGCAGCGAGGGGAACTTTCTTCAATCAGCTGCCAGACGAGAGCGGTGAGTTATCATGATGTCGTCCGCGGATACAGCACTCCGCGAAAAGGTGTCGTTGAGACTGACGTACATACACGAAGGGATACCGACGCAGGAGGAAACCACTGTCGCGCAATTAGCTTTCCGACTGCTGATATTGAGACAGACAAATTCAGCAAACTCAAGAACGAAAATCCAGACGGGCACGAAGAAGAGGTGTGCCCCACAGACACTTGGTGAACCGTTTCGCCATGCTGCTGCGATGCCAGCGCCGCGCGCGACAGTCTGCAACTTCTCCCTCGACGCGACGACGTTCCGATGATAGCAACAGCAGACATAATGAAGCGGGGAAATGCCAGCGTTCGCTGTTACCGAAACCCTTGAAAGACGCGGTTGATACAGACTCACACAGGGCGGGCACAGCGGTGCGTAATCCGCTGAGTTCTGAACCTATCGCGCCGACGCAGCCCCTCCGCTTGAATCCCGCGCAATCCGCAGCCTTCGCTGAAATTCAGAAGGCACTGGCATCACACACTACGGAATTCATCTCGGACAACGAAACTAAACATCCGTTGACTTTTTTACTACACGGGGTAACCGGGAGTGGGAAAACTGAAGTCTACATGCAGGCGATGGCAGAAGTTCTTGAGAATGGGAAGTCTGTCATTGCTTTGGTCCCAGAGATTTCGCTCACACCGCAGACGGCTTCGCGATTTGTGGGGCGATTTGGAGATCGCGTCGCGTTGCTGCATAGCCGATTGAGTGATGGCGAACGCTATGACCAGTGGCATCGCATCCAAAAAGGGGAAGCCGATATTGTTATCGGACCGCGTTCTGCTATTTTTGCCCCCGTCCAAAAACTTGGGATGCTGATTATAGACGAGGAGCATTCGGATTCCTATAAATCGGAGACTGCCCCGCGCTACCATGCACGGGAAGTCGCACAGAAACGGAGCGACCTCGCAAACTGCCTCGTTCTGCTGGGAAGTGCTACACCGTCGCTTGAAAGTTTCCATCAGGGCGCGAAACGGGAGTTATCGGCTCCTAAACCTCCCCGACCGTGTTTTTGATAGAAAAATGCCCGATGTTCACATCGTTGATATGCGAACTGAGCTGAAAAAGGGAAACCGTACGATCTTCTCGAATCTACTCCGAAGTGCTATTGAAGAACGGCTTGTCCGGCGAGAGCAAATTATCCTGTTTCTTTAACCGGCGTGGACACTCCACTTATGTCTTCTGCCGCACCTGTGGCTATGTCGAACGGTGCGACAACTGTTCTATCTCGCTAACCTATCACCGTGAAAAACAGCAGCTTATCTGTCACCACTGTGGCAGCAACCGCCCGACACAACCCCTGTGTCCACAGTGTAGTAGTGAGGCCATTCGATTTTTTGGTGCAGGAACAGAGGCGGTTGAACAAGAAGTACATAAGGCGTTCCCGCTAGCCCGTGTAAAACGGTTTGATGCCGATTCAACAGCGCGAAAAAACGCACATCAGCAGATTTTAGACGAATTTGGGCAACAGAAGATTGATATTCTGATAGGCACACAGATGGTGTCAAAGGGGTTAGACTTCCCAAACGTTACACTTGTGGGAGTCATCGCAGCGGATACAGCCTTGAATCTTCCTGATTTCCGGGCAAGTGAACAGACGTTCAGCCTACTCACACAGGTCGCAGGACGCTCTGGACGCGCAGAACTTGAAGGAAAGGTGGTCATCCAAACCTACATGCCCGAGCACTACTGTATAGAGGCTGCACAGAAACATGACTATCTCGATTTCTATGCACAGGAGATTGTTGCGCGGGACGCGTTACGGTATCCACCCTTCGCCCATGTTGCGACCCTCTTACTCCGCGGTAAAGACGAACAAGCGGTTATTGAAGCCGCCCATACCACGCGAGATCAACTCGAAATTTGGCAGACGGATCAAGAACACGCTTCACAGGTTCCCAAGGTAGAGGGAACATCGGTGGAGATCCTCGGTCCCGCACCGGCACCATTATCGAAAATTGAAGGGAAATTTCGATGGCATCTTTTGCTCCGAAGTACCGATCCTAAAAAAATGGGGCAACTCTTTAAGCGTTTTACTGACGAACCACCAGCCATCATTAAATCGAAGGCTATTGAATTTGTGATAGATATTGATCCAACGAATACACTATGAAAGTAGTCATCAGCCGTCAGTACAGATTTTTTTCAAAAATCCTTTCATGCTTCGCAGTGAGAACAGTCACAGGAGATGTTAGAATCATCAAAAACCTCTTGTAACTCTCGCTGCGAGGCAAACTGACAACTGATGCCATTTCTGAATAACCGTTTCTCATTAACGAAAACCGGTTCGTAGTGGCGCAATTCTGCGGCGTACTCGACCAAATGCGACGTGCATTATTGCGCCTCTTATACCAATAGGACTTACGCATCAAAACGCTGTTGGGATGGATGGCTTCGGCTTTCGTGCCCATCCAGACATGAACGCACGCAGGGCACGGGGACCCTGCGGAACATAGTCGAGACGAACGTAAATTGCGTAAGTCCTGACCAAATTAACCCCATTTGTAGCGCGAGGTCCCTGTGCCTCGCAATGCTGACTTGATCCAAAGACTTCTAATCACGTTAATTGGGTATTATACCAATTAACCCCATTTGTAGCGCGAGTGGTCCCTGTGCCTCGCAAGGCTCACGTGATCAAAGACTTCTAATCAGTTAAGTTGGTATTATACCAAATTAACCCCATTTGTAGCGCGAGGTCCCTGTGCCTCGCAATGCTGACTTGATCAAAAGACTTCTAATCACGTTAATTGGGTATTACATGCGGAAACCTCCTATGAGTTTCAAAATCTCATAAATGCGAATTTATTTTTCAGATTTGGTATGATAACTGATAACTGACAACTAATTACAAGGAACTAATTATAGATGGGCAACCGGATATTTGATAAACTTGCTGATACAGACCTGCTTGCACAGAACCCGATTCTGGTTTTCGCTGCGGATCCACTTGCATCCGCGGGGATTAAAGGGCTTGGACAGGTGCAGCATCCAAAACCTCACTACCGCACACATGCAGAGTTTTTGCAACTGCAACGCGACCTTGTTGCTGATGGACAATTAGATGGACTTCTAATGACACCCGCCGATGCAGAAACGCTTGCGCTTGAAGAAAACCTTTTTGAAAACACACCGATTACGCCAATTGTTCGGATGAACTCGGAAACAGCTATCTGGAACCCGCGGTTTGGGGTCTATACTTCCAGTCCATCAATGCCGTTTCAGACGGTATTTCCAGAGGATATGCAACGCTATTGTGAGGCACTCATCGGTCCCGCACTTGAATGTCGCGTGAACCTTGGGTTGTACTCCATTACGCTCAACAATGATCCCATCGCTGATGAGCGGATGTTGCACGCATATATCCAGTTCGCACATATTGTTGGTGAAATCGAAGGATTCGACCATCTCTTAGAGGTCTTTTTACCGAATATTAAACTGCCGGGAATGGATGAGGAGAAACGGGGCATGTATGTCGCCGATTCTATTGTTCGGACAATGAGTTACCTCCGAAAACACCAACGCCCGCGCTTTATTAAGACTGCCTATACGACCGCCGATGTCTGGACTGAGTTGTGCCAATTCGATACAACGTTAGTGATCGGTGCGTTGGGCGGTCCCCGTCAAAATGCACGCAGTCACATTCGCCTTAGCACACAATGTCGCCAGCAACGGTGGACGCGCGATCCTATTCGGACGCACTATCTTCGGTGAAGATGATCCGATTGGCATTGTGCAATGCCTGCGCCGTGTCCTTGACGGTGAGGAAGATGCGCAGAGTGCCCACGCATCATATCAGAAGTTATTGCGAGGTTCCCGTACCAGTTAATGACAATTCTGATTCTCCAAGTCCGGTAGGCGCAGTTTGTAACCGCGCCTACTCTATAACCAAGCAGGAGATTCCTAAATGCAGCATCAACCGTCAGAAAAACCCCGGATCCTCCTGCTCCTTCCAACACGCACATATCGAGCCGCCGACTTCTTGGAAGCTGCCTCAAAACTTGATGTAGAGGTCGTTGTCGCATCAGAAGAAGCCGCAACGACAGCAGACCTCTCGCCGCGCCATACCCTCGTGCTTGACTTCAGCGCGCCAATCGCTGCGACACAGGCAATTCTTGAGTTTACCGATACACACCCGCTTGCGGCAATAGTTGGTGTCGATGATGACACAACCCTGCTTGCCACGACTGCATCAGAGGCATTAGGGCTTCCACATAATCCTGTCGCTTCAGCAAAAGCCACGCGCAACAAATACCTCTTAAGGCATACATTAGCAACGAACAGCGTATCGGTCCCCGCTTACCAACGCTTTTCTATCTATGATGACCCCGCTGAGATAGTGAGAACCCAGTTCGACACGGATGCACACCTCAGTTTTCCGTGTGTCATCAAACCACTCTCCCTCTCCGCAAGCCGCGGTGTCATCCGAGCAGATACGCCTACTGAATTTATCAAAGCCTTTCAGCGGACAACGAAACTTCTCCACGCTTTGAAGGATGCCACCACGTAGGAGAGGTTTGTAACCCCGATTCCTCGACGCACGCCTCGCAATATCTGCTCGTTGAGGACTATATTCCGGGGATAGAGGTGGCACTGGAAGGTATCCTCTTAGACGGTGAACTTAAGGTGCTTGCGCTCTTTGATAAACCGGATCCGCTTGAAGGTCCTTTTTTTGAGGAGACCCTCTATATTACGCCTTCCCGTTTATCAGTGGCTATCCAAGATGCCTTACATAACGCGACAGCGGAAGCTGCCGATGCTTTAGGGATGCGACACGGACCCGTCCACGCCGAATTGCGTTATAACGATAAGGGCGCGCATCTCATCGAAATTGCTGCGCGGACGATTGGCGGCCTCTGTGCAAGAACTTTGCGGTTCGGAACTGGGATGTCGCTGGAAGAACTCGTGATCCGACACGCGATTGGGCAATCGGTCGAAGGGTTGCAACGCGAGCAGCAGGCAGCGGGGGTGATAATGATTCCGGTGCCGAAGGCTGGCATTCTGGGTGAAGTCCGCGGCAAAACATCCGCGTATCACGTGGAAGGAATTGTAGAGGTCAATATCACAATTCCTATTGGTGGAGAAGTCGTACCGTTGCCAGAGGGGGCGCGATATCTCGGTTTCATCTTTGCGCGTGCCGAAACACCAGCGGCAGTAGAAATGGCATTACGTGAAGCACATCAACGATTGGAGTTTATGATTTTGCCCTAAGAAGCGATTAGCATATTGGGATGACATCATGTTTACGAAACTATGCGCTTATCATGCTCACTGTTGTGATCGGATTTCTGTGGACAGCACAAGCGGAGGTAGATAACCCCTTATTTACGGAAGTGACCGCCGCGCTCGGTTTTTCACAGACAGAGGCATCTTGGTCACCAGGTACGCACGCCCTACCCGAGGTGATAGGGAGCGGGGTCGCACTCTTTGATTACAATAACGATGGCGCGCTGGATGTCCTGCACATCCGATTTCCGCCACCCGGTAAAGAGGACTCTCCTGCACCAAATCAACTTTTTCAACAACAACCCGATGGAACATTTGTTGACGTTACAGCAGCCGCTGGCATCGGACACGAAGGATACGGACAAGGCGTAGCAATCGGCGATGTGGATAATGATGGCGACGTAGATGTCTATGTGACGAACTACGGTGCCGATGTTTTCTATCGAAACAACAGTGATGGCACGTTCGCATTAGAAGAGATAGGTCTTTCAAATGAGGCTTGGGGGACATCCGCAACCTTTGGTGATTACGACAGAGACGGAGACCTCGACCTCTATGTAGCCAACTACGTTCAGTTTGATCCAGAGACGGTGTGTCGTGGGAAACAGAGCGCGCCAGATTATTGTAACCCACAAGTTTTCGAGCCTGCCACAGATCGACTGTTCCGAAACAACGGCGATGGCTCCTTCACAGATGTAACCGAGCGGGCGGGTATCGCTGCAATGTCTGGCAGAGGCCTCGGCGTTGTGTGTCTTGATCTGACGAGGGACGGGTGGGCGGATTTTTTTGTTGCAAACGATGGCGAAGCGAACCATCTCTGGGTCAATCAGACCGATGGTACTTTTGCTGAGGAAGCCATATTGCATGGACTTGCGTTTAACGCTTACGGACAACCCGAAGGCAGCATGGGCATCGCTGTCGGCGATGTCAATGGCGATACGGCCAATCCAGATATGTTTGTAACGCATTTGTCTGGTGAGACAAACACGCTTTATGTTGCTTCACCCTATTCTGTATTCGTTGACATGACTGAGATCGCAGGGTTTGCCGGACGCGACCTACGTTTTACAGGCTTTGGGGGCGGTTTCCTTGATTTCGACAACGATGCTGATCTCGACATCGCACTCGTCAATGGACGGGTGAAGCGCGGGGGTATCCTGAAGAAGGCAAGCGTTGGCGAATTTTGGAACTTTTACGCCGAACCGAATCTCCTCTTCCAAAATTCTCAGACAACAAGGGGGTTCGCTTTCAGCGATGTGAGTTCGAGAGCACCCGATTTCACGGGACGCGTTGAAGTAAGCCGCGGAATGGCTTTCGGTGATATTGACCGAGATGGTGATGTTGATATTGTGGTGAGTAGTCTTGATAATCGGCTTCGCCTTTTCCGAAACGACGCACCGCCACCGCAGCATCACTGGTTTTTCGTGCAAGCGATTACCGAAAATCGCGACGCACTCGGGGCACAAGTGACACTCCGCACCGAATCACGTACATTGACAGACTACGTACTGCCGGGATCGAGTTATCTCAGTAGCAGTGATCCGATCGTGCATTTCGGTTGGGAACAACCGACGAAATTCAAGTAATCGAGTGCGAGGCAAGACGGAACCCGTGAAAGATTTCCGGGGACAACGCTAACCGACGGCCACGGTTATCAGGGAAAGGGGGTGCCTTTTTGAAGAATTGCCCTCTTATATCATTGGCTTTTTTTTTCCTAATTCTGATTAACAATCCTGTATTTGCGGGCAATAACATCGATATCCCGCAGCCCCCTGATCTCGACTAGTTGGGAAAAAGCTGCTTTTGCAGGCATTGAGACTGCACAAGACGCTGTTCGGAGTTCTCCTGATGCTGCAGGTGTCTGGGGCCGCTGGGTGGCGAACGTCCCGATCTCATGTCGCGGTTGGCGACGTTCAGCGATAGCGTGTTATCGGCAAGCGCTAAGACAGACTTAGCTCCTGATCGCTACTGTCAGATGGCTCTATTGTTCTGGGGCGTTTGACAACAGCCGACCATGCCGGCAGGAGGCAGTCAAACACCGTTACGCGTGCGCTTACTGCGACTCGGCTACGTCCTGCCCCTCTACCTCGCTTCCGCGCTGCGAATATTTTAGGGAGACCTTTCGATGAAGCATGGGCGAAGCGACAGCATTTGTGAACACGCGACGCACCATCCAGACCCAACAATATCCTGTTTTCTGACCTCTGGCGCAGCCGAATCGCACTACTGATGCAACAAGTGCAGCTGCTTGCCAGACAACATTTGGAACGCGCACTGCGTCTGAATCCGAGACAAGTCGAAGCGCACGCGCTGATGGTGCAGTTGCTCTTACACTCGAGATAAACAACACGCGAACCAACAGCACGCGCGAGCGCTTCGGCAAAACCGAGTCAATACGTGCTGATTCTATCTGATCCGCTGTGGTGGGACGTGCTCTTCGAGCGGAGTCCTGCACACCGCTACATCTGGAGTTCGCGGTAGACGTTCATATGTCAGCACGAGTTATGACGAGTGCTGTGTGCTGAATTTGAGGAACCGCTTATCGCGCAAGCGCAACAAGATGTCGAAGTCTGGCTTGACTACGCGGCATTGCCTTCGTCGGACAGAGAAATACAGTGAGGCACGGTGCCATATTAGAAGCGCGGCAGGCACTACTTTTTACTTTACTGTCTTCCCGACACGCATGTCCAGCACACACACATCTGATGCAAGTTTCCTATTCAAAGGCACAGTCTATTCTACTAGCAAAATCTACTATGAAACGGACGACCGAGCAGCTATCCACACAGCTCAAAAGGCGATTCGCTTTGCATAATCTCGTTTTAAAATCACAATCACCTAAAGGAATCAGTGATTCAGGTCATTCCACGTTTTGGCGAACGTTTATGCGAACCTTGCGATGGTGTACGAAGACACGGCAGTTGGAACAGGCAATAACACAGTATCAGAAAGCACTTGAACTGCTGCCAACGAAACCTCGCTGCACCGAGATATCGCCGGTGTCTACTGGAAAAAACGGCTTTATGCTGAAGCGGAACCGCATTACAAAATAGTTGCAACCGATACGCGACAGACGTACAGCGATTTAAACATATTCGGCTTAATATTTCTGACGAAAGGGCAGTACGCGGAGCGTCACACGGTTTGAGAGGTAATAATCTTGACGCAGAATATATGCGTGCGTATGAGGCGTTGGTATGCGTATCAGAACTTGGAAATATATCGAGGGCGATCAGCGCGTTTGAAAAGGTGCTTCAGTTGGAACCGGATAACAAGAACGCATTAGAGATGCTCAAGCAGCTTCACGAGCGAATAGGTTATACACAATACCCCATTTGGTGTCAGCGCGAGGCTCCCTGTGCCTCGCAAACGCTGACTTTTGATCAAAGACTTCTACTCACGCTAATGGGTATCTATACCAACGTACGCCCATTTGTAGCAGCGAGGTCCTGTGCTCGCAATGCTGACTTGCATCAAAAGAATTCTATCAGTTAAGTTTGGTTAGACTTACGCAGGCAGCTCTCGCCCGCCGATGCGTCCCCGTGCTCGGCGATCCTTATCTCTCACGGTTTGCTTGCACGAATCCAAAAGCGTCCGCTTTCTTCTTCCCAAATGGCGTTTGCGTAATACCAATTACCCCATTTGTAGCGCGAGTCCCTGTGCCTCGCAATCTACTTGATCAAAAGACTTCTAATCACGTTAATTGGGTATAAGTCCTATTTGTATTAGAAGTGAAGATCGGGAACCTAATTTTGGAGGGAATATGATTACATAGCGCGCGTTAAACTATTTGCCAAGCGCGCCTACAAACATAAAAAAAACGGACGATTATGGGTTATTTGAATGTTGGTCGCTAATATGTCCCCAAGTTAAACACCGAGTTTCTCTCTCTCGATCGACCGCCAAATATCCCTTAAATCCTTTATCCATCAGTTCCTGAATATCTTCTTGTTCTAAGGCGGAATGGAAGATAGCGACTTCGTCCATTGCACCCGGGAAGAAATTGCCAGCGGCATCCCAGACACCACACCCACCGATGTTGACGTTAAAGGCAGAAGTACCGTGGTTCGCCCAACCACCTTTTTTCTCAATGTACTCGCCGTCAATATAGACATGGACATACTCTGTCGTGGCGACACACCCGACGTGGTGCCATTCACCATCGTCGTGCTTGAATTTCCATGGATTGGTTGTTCCACCTGCGGTGGGTGTCCAGAGGTTGACAGATTGCGGGTTAATAAAACCGAACTCCGGTGAATCGTTCTGTCCAACGAGCCCGATACGGTTTGCGGCAAGACCACCCGTCTGGACCCAAGTGAGAATGGTGAACTCTTCCCGGTTATCAAGAAGTTTCTGCCCGGTTGAGACACAACTCGCTTTTCCATCAAATTCAAGTGCCATGCCGAACTTACCTTTCACCCATGCAGGGGATTTGACTAGCTCGCCATCGTTTCCTACACCGGAAACGTCACCAGCAACATTCCCTTTGCCTTCATCAAACAGCCATATACCGACCGCCGTCTCGAGGTCGATCTCGGCAGTACTGATATGAACAGCGATGAGGCTGAAACATACCACGCCGAGGATTAATAAAAGTTTTTTCATTGTGTTTTCCTTCTAATAGTTACCGTAAGCATGTTAAAAAACGCTACGGCGTTAGGTTCTTTTTAAATATAGTTTATCGTAAAATATATCGCATAAAATTGCAACAAAAAACCTGAGTTAGACAAAGTTTTCCGCATACAACGTGATGTAACTTGTCTAAATCAGGTATAAAAGTTTACACCTACTTTGAGTAGAGCGAACTTGTAATGTCTAATAACTATGGCTTTCAGTGTCCCAGATTGTGCGGGAGTTGGTTCGCTTGCGACTCAACAGGCGAGCTGCTTTTGCTGCGTCTCGGTTACACCGCCGTGGGATGGAGGATAGCCTCATCCACTCGGTGATATTCATAACGTTCCTCAGCTGTGAACAGGATGTCCAATTCGCGCTGTGCATTCTTCCGAGAGTCCGACGCGTGAACAATGTTGTGCGTTATGTTGATTGAGAAATCGCCTCGGATGCTTCCCGGTTGGGATTTCTTTGGGTCAGTTTCCCGTTAAGGATGCGTACCAATTCAATCTGCGTTCCGTCCTTCAATAGCCAAGGCAATAATAGGTGCCGATGTCATGAATTCTATGAGTACATCGTAAAAAGACTTGCCATGATGGACAGCGTAGAGTGCTTCTGCTGTGACGAGCGGAAGCTGCAACAGTTTCATCGCAACAATTTTGAGTCCTTTGTGTTCGTAGCGGGCAATAATTTCACCGACAAGTCCGCGTTGAACGCCATCGGGTTTGATCAAAACCAGTGTCTGCTCTGTTTCCATGGTCCCTCCGTATGAACCTTTGTGCGCGCCTCCCATAGCACGCTCAGCGATACAACAAGCATTCAAGGCTTGACATCAAGCCTTTTTAAGTATACCATATTTTCAGCGGATTTGCCAATTATTTTTCCTCTAATAAATCTAATGGAGATGGCTATGTACGATAAACTTGGCGAGGTAGTACTCAAAACAGAAGAACGGATGGAAGTCGGTGTGATTACTGCGCCGGATGAACACTATGCCGAAGAGGTGAAACAGTTCCTTGGGCATAAACCGGGCAACTATAAGTGGCACATTGAGCGGTGCGTTACGGAAGTGCTTGATGCATTGGAAACCCGTTTCTATGTCGGTAAACTTGACGGACACGTGATTACCAACATTATGACGGTCGAGTATGAAGGCATTGGCATTTTAGGGCATGTCTTCACGTTGCCGGAACAACGTAGGAAAGGCGCGTGTAAAGGCGTGATGGCGTATCAGATGGAGGATTTTCGACAACGCACGGGTCGCTGCACTCTATCTCGGCACCGGATACAATAGTCCTCCGTATTATATCTACCACAGTTTCGGATTTGAGAGTGTATATCCAGAATCCGGTTTCATGAAGTATTACGTGAACGAGGACTTTGAAGAACGCTATTTCGCGCCCGCACCTGCGCAGCCGAAACCCTGTTGAATGGCATGACTGGCCGAAAGTCACGGCGTTGTCAGGAATAGTAGGTTGGGACGCGCTGCGGAGCCTTAAGTGGGGGTCTACGGTCCCACGAACCTTGAAGGCGGATTTCTGAGTTTCAAACACGCTTTGGAAACAGAGGATGTCTACGAAGATACCAAACTGCTCATTTCATCGGAGGGTGCAATCGTCGGTTGGGCGACTGTCAGCCGTGATGAACGCTGGCGACCGGCGACTGCCGTGCTGGACCTCTTCTTCCATCCAAATTTCGCCGACGATGCTGTCCCCGCCTTGCTTTCAGCAGTAGATTTCCGAATCGAAGGTTCAGTGTTATGTTGACAGCGGTGCTGAGAAGAAGGCAGCGGTTTTAGAAGCATCAGGATTCACCTGTGAAGGACAACTCAAAAACCAGTTTGCGTATGGCGGGCAGCATTACGATGTTTTGGTGTTTGCACGGGAATAACTGTCTGAATCGCGGAGTGACGCGGATTTTACAAATTTCTCGCTTTAAATCCGGCGGTTGTATTCGCCGTGTTTTCCGATCCAAACCCATGTGAAAACCTGTCCGTCTTGAATTGCGATTGCACGATAGTCGTTGTTAACTCTTGCGGACCAATAATTCAACCGCCGCGTTTTTTTTAGCATGAGTGATGGATGGTTTGGATTCTGCTTTAGAAGTTGAAATTGTTTATCAGCGCGTTGAATGTCTGTGGGGAGCCTGCGATAATACGCCCAAAATTCGGGTGTTGTTTTATAGAATCAATGAGTTTTCCGGTCTTTTTTGCGCGGCGTGCGTCCTCTCGTAAATGCTCCAATTTTCCTGCCGCCTATATCCGCTTCAGTTGTTTATCCAAGCGTCCTCAAGTGCCTGAAGTGCTTCACGGAGTTTGATTGCCAGCGTGTTCAAAAGCTCTTTTTTACTTTTGCGGCATTCGACTTCAGGAAGTTGCGGAATCCATCCGCGCCATCCATCAGTTTCTTTTTCGAGGTGTGCGGTGTAGGGTTCCTCAAAGACCGGATCAAGAATTGTGGCGTGCGAAATTGTGTGTTCTCAACTTTGCGTTCCGGCAGAGGATGACATCGGTTTGTTGGTTTGCGGGAAATCTCATAGTTCACCTCTCAAATTTGTTGATATCATCTGAATCACGGATTTTCACGGATGTACACAGATGACGCGGATTGAAAAATCTGTGAAATCTGCGTCATCCACGATTCAATTGTAGGTTATTCGGAGGAGAGTCTGCTCCAGAAGGCTCAGGTTGAGGGTTGCCTCAGGTTGGACATCAGGAGAGGTTGGGGATTATCAGCAGGTTGGGTATCCGCAACAGGTTGAGTGCCAACATCAGGCCTTAGCGATAGGTTGTATACCCGGGACCAGGGCTCCCCTCCCCCCATCAGTTGAACAACCTGTATACCCGGGACCATGTGCCAAGTTCACCTTACGTGGATTAGGTTGTGTGTCAGGGACAGTTGCCTCTTTCTCTTTCGTTTGATAAGCGGTTTAGTACGTCCGGAGTCGGGTTTTCTACCTTTCATCATTAATCTCCATAATATTCTTTTTAGGAATTCAACCATAAGATAAACGGACCCAAAATATAGAATGCTACGAAAGATGACTCAGAAGAAAATGTATCCAAGCAAAGTGATTTTTTTCTGTATACCTCTTCTTTGCTTCTAAGTAATATTGCCCATTGAGTTTGAGCTGTTTTTGAATAGCGTACTGACTGACGAGAAACGAAACCAGCGTAACGTAATTGTAAGTAAAAACCAAACCAAGACCAATGTAGGAAACCTACATCGGCCACATTAGCTATACCTTGTTCGCCTTTAGATTTCAAGAATAGCAATGACACCCCCAATACCCGCACTTGATTAAAGACAAGATTGCTTTGTCAAGCATTTCCGAGTTTGATATCTGACGCTTGAACAGATCATCTCTTAAATCATTATGGAGTTTTTGCCGTCTTCGGTCATCGAATTTCCTACGTTGATAGTGGTACTTCAAGTTTTGCCCATGCAAGATTGGTGAAGCCCCTTTTGGTTCGGTACAGCGCGAGTGTAGCCAGTTCGGGTGATACTCTCTAAAATTATACATATTTTTTTAAGTGCAAAAGATTTTCAGAGAGCTCGATATGTGTCAATGAGCATGGGTTTCCTAATCTATGAATCGCGGATTTTCACGGATGACACAGATGACGCGGATTGAAAAATACCGTTGAAATCCGCGCAATCCCGGTAATCCGTGATTCTTACCATTTACGCACCGCTCCCTCCATGATCGCAATCTCCTCTTCCGTTAAATTATACAATGCATAGACCCGTTTATCAATCCCTTTTTCCAAAGCAGCGTGTCGGCATTCGGATCAGCGGCTTTGCGGCGAGAATCTGATTGACAAGTACAATAATTGGTGCTTGTTGCTCAGAGGTTACATCAGGATCGGGATAGTCTTTATCTCATTGTTTCCAATCCGTAAATATCCCCCGATTAGTGCCAGCGACCAAATGTTGAACCGTAATAATTTATGGTATAATTTTCTATTCTATTGTTTGAAATGGAAGAAGAGAATTGAAATGGGCAAACGAGTTCATTAATCGCAATTGGTTACACGGCTATTTTCCCGACCTTCTGTTTGCGGACAGGTTTGCCTTGGGCGTTGGTGAATCGAGCGGTGATTTGTAGAGAGTTACACACCGTTCGCAAGCGGTTCACCGTCGGCATCATAGCCGTCGAAGTGGAACTCGTTGAAAGAGACAGACGCGTCAAGCGTATCAATAGCAACAATGAGGCGACCGGTTATACGTATAGATTTAGGGTTACCTCGTCGGCACCCTTGGTGAGATAGTAGGCAAAAATGAGTCCGCTTCCGGCACGAAAAGGATTCGGGAAGTTGGCGATGTTTTTGATTTCAAATTCACCAGCTACAGTCGCCGTTCGCGTATCGTCTGATGCGTTGC